CAGCGCAGCGTGTGCGTAAAGGAGCCGTGGTGTCCCTTGAATTTGCCTTCAATTTAACAAATGGTGTGTGTGTGTGTTCCGTTCGTTTTCTCCGCTGGACACAGAAGTCGCCTTTGCTCAAGATGCCACTTTATTAATCACTGACACAAAGACTGATACCGTCACTGCAGTATAGCCTAAATAAGCCCCACTGCATTGTAAGTGTCATGTGTGTGCTGTTTTAAGCGGCGTTTTACGTGCGTTCCGGGACCTGTGCTCGTCGTACCTGCGCTGTCATAGGTACTTAGCGTTCCGGCACCTTGTGATTTACAAATGAAGCACTGGATACATCATGATCTGCGCGAAAGAGGGCGGAAAACTATGAATTTCACCCTCCTGCTCTCCGCACATCCAAAGCCACTCTTTTCTCTCCCGGCTCTCTCTCTCACTCACTCTCACACGTACACAAACACACACACACGACCCCGCCCCCCATGTCACTCACATGCATGCTGCATTCACTGGACAGGCACACAGTAGGAAACCAGAGCATCATAACATTGTCCCACACAGCAGCTAACAGCGGGGTTGCTACAATATAAAACTCGCGGGCCGCACTAACATTAAACTTTCATATTAAGGTGGGGGCCACAAAATATCGTCCCAAGGGCCGCAATTGGCCCGCGGGCCGCGAGTTTGAGACCCCTGGTATAGATAGACATACAGCTTAGGATTAAATGAATATTCGAATAGTGATGTGCAAACGTGATTGTCAAAGACAAAGATGGGTTATCAGTAGTAGAATTGGGTTTAAGAGAAAACTGTTAATGATTAACCGCACGTGTAAACCAGCCACATGGTTAATGGCGACTCGGAATAAATGCTGTTGTAACACGTGCTGTTACATTTTACAGAGTGACGGTGCTGTTTTTCACACGATTGCTATTAACCACAATAAATGTGCTTGCCCTCGATTTGGAGCACCTGCCCACGTCCTTAATTTCGAGTGTGCAACATTTCAAATGAGACCTATATCACTGACATTTCATCTCGCCATTCCTGGTTAACATCTGGACATAATCGATTCTGATCCATTAACGAAGTCAATGTTGGATGCCTGTCTTAGAACTATAGACATAAAAAATTTCAAGTTTAGTTTGCTTAACTATTTGGGAATTCAAGAGACCAGGGAGCCGTTCATTTCTCAAGGAGCATGAAACATCTTCAACTACTGGATATGCGCACTATTAAATTTACATGGAAAACGAACTTCTTTAGAATAGATTTTTGTTAAATCATGGGACCTCCTTTGCCAGTACCAAAATATGAGAATAGGTTTTCCCCTTTTTTCTGGCAACAAAGCAGGTGTTAAGATGTTTAAACACCAAACTGAAACCTTTTACAAGGAATCGTGTGTGCATTAACCACAATTCTTGTGGTCTGAATGCAAACAAAAAACACTGATAGTATATGCATTGTCTTTGAAACTGATTGGTCCACACCAAAGACAGCTTTCTTTCGAGCCTAGTCTCAAACGGTGTCAGACCAGAGGACGTCATAAGGCGAACTGGTATTGCGGTTAATGCACACATGATTCCTTGTAAAAGGTTTCATTTTGGTCCTTTAACATCTTAACACCTGTTTTGTTGCCAGAAAAAAGGGGAAAACCTATTCTAATATATGTCTATGTTTAGTTTGTTGTCCTTCCCCCGCACCTCCGATCAGCACAGTTGGCTATGCATGGTCCGAAAGAAGTCCAAATACATTTCCAATGTATTACATTTCCAAAGCAAAAGCTAAACTGGTATGTGAGCATCGCCATTAGGGAGACAAAGGGGGTCGTGCGTGGTGCTGGCCACCCACCCCCTCGTGTGCCATGCCGGCCTTCGTAGGTGCTCGCTAACACCACTTTCCCTAAAGTTCCTTTTGGTCAATCCACTGCTGGATGAGGGCTCCGCATGCCGCGCAGGTGGTGGGGGGTTATCTGAGCCACGCTGCACCCCGCTGGTTAGCACCGCGGGTTGGTGAATGCGCCATCAGAGCAGGGCCCAGCAGCAATGAGATTGGCTGCCGATGCCCCCTACTACGAAGTGTCGCCATGGGCCACCACCGCTGCTGCAGCAGGGGCCGTGGGCTGCTACCCAGACTCCTACATTGGACGAGTTGGAGCAGTGCACTCCGGGTGATGTGGAGATTCGCAACTGTGTATCCAAACCCTCATCAACTCTCTCTGGCCTGTCGCTATTTTTTTTTGTGATATGAATAAAGGATACAGGCAGAAATGTCACCGATTATGTTTTTATTTTAAAGCCTCAGAGTTGCTGACGAGTATATTGAGTATGTGTGCGTGTGTCTATGATAAAATATTTAATGTACGGTATTATTTATGTACAGTATTTTGGGGTTCGTGTACTCTGTATTTACCCTGTAGAATTAGTGTTAAAGTGTACTGCTGTACATTTAATGTAACGCTGTGGGTACGTGATCCTTCAGCAGCATGACTCCGAAGCATGTTTTAAGTGACAAGGATCTATCTGTGGCTAAGAGGCAGCGTAAAAATGTTACCTTGCAAGTGAAGTCAGATGGGACTCGGCGCCGCCAGTGAAGCGAGACCCACGCGCGTACCCGCTTCTGTGAGTGTTCGTGTGTTTGTGGATCTGTGTGTGTGCACTTGTGTGTGTGTACTTGTGTGTGTGCTACCATCAGTAGTTTTCGGCTCTGGATTGTTCTTCGTACTTTCGGAGTCCCTGACTCTGGTCACAATCATTAAGGACGTTCATGATGATGAGTGGGCCTGGGTAAAACTACGTAGCCGGAAGTCGGAGCCATTCCCTATTCACCTTGGAGTGCGACAGGGATGTCCTCTGGCTCCCACGTTATTTAACATATATTTTGACCTCGTAGTTTGTGAAGCCTTCGGTGGCTGGTACCGGAGCAATTTCCGTCTGGTACAGATACAATGGGAGACTAATCGATGCCCGGGTACTGTAAAGGGATGGCTCCCTATTGCTCAACCATGTTATGTATGCCGATGATCTGGTAATTGTTGCTCACTCAGAGGAGGAGTTGGAGGCGCTGCTGCTGAACCTGGAGCTTGCCACTAAGGGGTGGGGACTTATCATCAGCCGCACCACAACTAAGAAACTGCCTGGGTATGTTTTACCATCGGACACCACCCCCACAACACCCAATTGGTGATGGGGCAGTTGTGGAGAGAGTGGGGAGTTTTCCATACCTGGACAGTGTGCGCAGGACTGGCTCTGGTTTGACAGCAGAGGTCTCACTCCGAATCAACCAAGCAGCATTATATTTTCATCGGCAGCGTAATGCTGTGTGAAAGCTATCTGGTCTGTGGTTCCACACGAAGCTTCGGGTCTTCTTGGCCACGGTCATGCCCTCTTTTCTCTATGCTTGCGAAACGTGGACCACCTAATGGAACATCTTCGCCGGTTAGGAACATTTAGGCTGGCCTGCCTACAATCCATCCTGGGTTTAACCAGGCTGGATTGTGTGAGCTCACATATACTGGAAAGATCTGGACAAAGTCCCATCGGTGAGCTCCTCAGGCAGGCAAGGCTGCTTTGGTTGGGTCATGTAGCCCGCATGCCCAACCAATGCATGCCTAAACAGCTTTTGTTCGGCTGGATAGAAGGGGCTAAAAAGGCACGGCATGGGCTAGCGGAGTGATGTGGTACAAGATGACATGGAGCTGTGTACTTGCCGATGACTGGTACCAGCGGTGTCAAGATCGGCCTATGTGGAGGAGGCTCGTGAAGGACGCTACTGGGCAGTTGGAGACAGTCGCGCTCCAGCAACAAAGGAGGGCAGAGGAGTGATGCTCAAAACAATGAGCGGAACGCACAGGTGGTGCATCGGCCGGTCATCTCAGTCAGTCGACCCATGGCACATGGGTCTGTCTCGTGACCTTCCTGCCATCAGGCATTCGACACTTTACGTGGCCTTAACGTGCACATGGCCTGGCACAGGTGCCATGGTGATGTCACCGCCAATTCGTGGTAAGTGGCGATTGTTGTTGTGCTTTGTGTCTATATAGTGCTCGTGTATCTGTGTATGTGCGAAAATTTGCACGCGTGTGCATGCCCAATGTGTCTGTGTGTTGTGTGCATCTGTACGTGCAAGTGCGCGTGTCTACACGTGGATGAGCGAGCGCGAGTCGCCCACCTGGTCGTAGCTACGGCTAACCGCGAGATCATTTTTCAAGATAACTAATTTTTTTTTCAATAAACACGTTCCTTCGGAGTGGGCAGGTAAGAACTTGGTTGGACAGCGCATTCGTGCACGACAGACAAATATGCACGACAGACACATAATCCCTGGTGGGCAGTGTGGAACCTGTTGTTTCTACCTGTATAGAAGATAACTTGACTTGAGGTCGCCAGGCAGCCAGCCAGGTAGCCAGCCCCCTTAACTATCGCCCCCTCCCCTTTGCTTAGGCACCTCCCCTGACCCCCCCTCCCTCCCTCAAGCCCCTGCACTGACCGCCCCTCCCTTAGGCCCCTCGCCTGACCACCCCCCCATATCTTTAGGCCCCTCCCCTGACCCTCCTCCCGCAGGCCCCTCTCCTGACTCCCCCCTTCCTTAGGCCCCTCCCCTGACCCTCCTCTCTTAGGCACCTCCCCCCTCCGTACCCGGCAGTCGGTCTCCACCAATCAAAGAGCTGTTTATATTATATATATATTTATGCACCACAGACAGACAAATAAACCCTGGTGGGCAGTGTGGAACTGTTGTTCCTACCTGTATCACGATATTAGTTTGTCGTAACCTCCAATCCTAGTTCACGATTTAATTCTATAGTGTTTGTGCTTTTACTGCACTTCTAAAGTGAGTACAGATCACTTCACCACATTCTACATTCAGCGAAAGCCTGCCGCGAGTAATTCAATCTGCACCACTGCCGTGAGTAGTTCCATCATCACCACTTGACGATCCTGTGATGTGCAGGACGCACGTGCTGCCCGTCGCGCAATGAGTCGTGAAGTAACGCGGACACGGTGTGGTACGATCATCATGCCTTTAATACCTCCAGAAAACATTTTGCAAAGGACTGATTTACAGTAATGGCCACGACGAGCTGGTTACTTGGGATCTTTAATTATCGTGCCTTGGAGGAGGGGGGGGCTTGGGGGCTGTGCTCAGCAACCGTGATAAATACAAAAAAATCTTTAAAATATTGCGTCAACAAATAAAATAAATTGAGTTACGACAATCACGGTGACATTCTACCAAATGGGCGATATGGATATCGCGGATGGCATCGTCCATACGGAAACGCGTCGCGGTATCGTCGTTGCACTATCATCATCATCACCGTATTGTCGTCGCAGCGAACCCTAGCCGTAGCTGCCCGGCCCCGTGTCCCACTGGTGGCCACCAGCACCGCCCTAGGGCACGGTGACGTGGAAGGGACTGCCGGGGATGCCGTCGTCGCCCCACTTGACGATGAGGACGTAGTCGCCCTTTTCCTTCACCATGTAGGTGACATTGTAGACGCGGTTGCCCATGTGCTTCACGTGCACTTCCTCGCACGGCGTGCGGGGCCCATGCACCCCCACCATCAGCATGTTGGTACCTTTGGGGGGTGGGAGGCGGGCGGAAGAGTGGTGGCATAGTGGTTAGTGCGTTGCGCTACGAACCCGACGGCTCGAGTGGCCAAAATCTGAACTAGTCATGGCCTTTCACTAGGTTGACTCATTCTTAAATGAGCACCTGGTGTGGTATGTAAAACATCAGCACTGGGGAGACAAAGGCGACCGGGCGTGGTGCTAGCCACCCATCCCCTTGTGTACCCTGCCAAGCTTCATAAGTGCTTGCTAACAGAACTTGCCCTGTCTATCTGGGGGGGGGGGGTCTTTATCTTTGGGAAAGGGGGGGGGGGGGCTTGGCATGGTGTGAGCGGGAGGAAGATGAATGAGTCGGTGAGAGAGGTTGGATTTAGGGACTCGCATGTTGGAAAGTGTTGCAGGATCCATGCATGTGCATTACTGTTCTCCCTTATTAAGCAGATAACAGAGCTACAGGCTACATGTACATCTAGCTAGTAGAGAAGAGCTGTGTCTGTGTTGAGATTGTCTTTATTTTAACACCGAGAACTCCGAACAAGCAACCTGACCATCGCCGAGCCCACTCAAGAACCTCAGCAGGATGGAATCTCTGACTTGAATACGAGGTTTGGTGGAAGCTCGAACCGGCGCACCGCCTGACAGATCCACCCACTGCCACCTTCACGCTGGAGATTCGTAGAAGTCCCAGCATGCCATTGCAGAACCACTGACCAGAGTGTCGACCACAGAGTCATTAACCTCTATGGGCTCTATGTGAGTCTGTCGATCTCTAAGTGAGTCTGTGGGTCTCTGAGTCAATGAGTCTCTATGTGAGGCCACACATGAGTGAACCTCTACAAGTCTCTGTGTGAGACCACACAGTCGCAAATCTACGGAGCCATTGAAGCAATACGCACACATCAACTCAAGGTGTGCGAGCACACGGGGTCTCACCGGCGTTGCTGCAATCCACAGTGAAGGTGTTCTTCTGTGCCGTGTAGGCCTTTGTCAGCCCAGGTCCCCGCGCCACCACCTATGGCAAGGCAGGCACGCACGTCCTGTCATTCACACTCTCCCTCGGCGCCGCTCTCATCATGCTCTCCTCGGCTCACACGTAACCTTCTGAATGTCAGAGGTGGCTGCTTGTCCCGTTACCATGAGCCCACGTTAAAGACACACGGATGGACGGCCATAATGCATCGATTCTCTGAACCTCTGTTGTAATAAAGAGAGCGGGAGGGAGAGAGATATCTCCCTTAGCTCGGCCGGGAGGCACAGTCGTCACGCACCTTGGTCGCGTCGGACGTGAACCTGGTGGCGGACACCGTCCCTGTGAGGGCGCTCGCTGACGATGAGGACGACGAGGTGGTGGCCACAGCGGCTGTTGAGGAGGAGGCCTTCGAGGATGACTTGGTGACCGTCTCCACCAGCACCGTGGACGTCTCGTGCGAGCTGTGGCCTCCTGCGAGGCGAGGGCCTGAGGCGGGGGGGCGGGAGGGGCAAGGGTCACGAGTGTGTCTGCACGAGCCACCGTCGCTCCTCGACGCTGCTCCAGTGCGAACTCAACCCTAAATGGCCCATACACGAACTGGAATTCCGAATGGTCGGGGCGCGTTCCTTCCTTGTGCTGCCACTGCGCTCTCATAAGTCTACACCACCGCCCATCGGCCCCCCCCCACCGCCCCGCGACACGTCCTGCCCAAGCCCACTCACTTTGCTCGGCAGTCAATGAGATGCAGTGGGTGAGATCTGTGAGTGCTGGTGAACGCGGCGGTGTCAGGTTCATCTGCCCCGTGGAATGGATAGCGCAAAAACTCGTCGTGCAACTTTGGGGCAGTGGTGCAGCCCAGCGGTAGCACACTCTCACCACTTGCTGCAGAGGTTCGCGGTTCGATATCGGCAGGCTGCCCTGGTCAATACTGCTGGTTTAGAAACCATACAATGCGTGCCGTTTGCTTCACAGTGTGGACGTTAAAGATCCCACGACGTCATTCATGATACCCATTCGATGGTAACCTCAGTTATAAGAGTGGTGCATTTATAACTGTACTTAGTAGGCCGTTGCGTGCTGGTGCCATGGTCAAATTTGACACATGGGAAAAATGATCTGCAGATTACCTAATTGGGATTGCACACGGCAACATTGCCCCCCTACTGCTAAAATACTAAAGATTGTTGGGAAACAGCACCTTCCTTTACGGTAACCCTTGTGCTATAAGAACGAGCGTGTGAATAACACGTAAACTAAATTTTATTTATTTTCATTGAGGGGTGTTGAGAATTGAATAAATCTCATCTTTACACAAGAGCCGGGCTGTAATGCGATTACATGAGTAACTGATCACTCCAACGATTATGGGTTTGATCGCTCGACTAATCGGATAACACGGAAACAGTTGAGCAAAAAGTCTCGCCTGCTGCCACATGTGCCGCTGGATGGGAGGTGATGGGCAGGGCTCGGTAACAAAATCGGCATCACCGTCAGCCACGCCACGCTAGGCGTGGCTTGTTGGCGGTTTCCGGGCTTCGATTTTAACGGTGCCGGAGTAACAAAGTAGGCGATTACGATCGACGGTCGACAAATCTTCGTAGCCCTAACTTGCACATCGTGGCGGCCATATTTCCCCATACTCGCACGAACCTGTGACCTTGGCCTTGTAGGGGCTGCCGGGCACGTGGCCGGGACCGCCGTACTTGACGGAGATGTTGTAGGTGCCGGGCGCCATGGGTGTGTAGTTGACGCGGTAGCCCTCGGAGCTCTCCACGCAGTCCAACTTAGCCTTGGAGGGCCCCTCCACCGTGACGGCCAGGGCGCCGGCGCCGGCACGCCGCGTGTCCACCACGAATTCCGCTGGTGAGCCTGCACCCCCGGCCAACGCGGGCCACCGCAAGCACCGTCACGCACCGGGTCAATATTCCACACGTGCATTGCCGCTGAAATCGCGTCGCTGTCGCTGCGCGGCATTTTGATTCAACATATGCCGGTGGAAACCCGTGTTTAACAATAGGTTTTACCTTTCTGGCAATGAAACAGGTGTTAAGATATTGAAACACCAAACAGAATCCTTTTTCAAGGAATCCTGTCTGCATTAACCATACGTACCATGCATACAAAAAAACCTGCTCTGATAATATATGCATTGTCTTTCAAACCGATTGGTCCACACCAGAGACAGCTTTCTTTTGAGCCGAGTCTCAAAGTGTTAGACCAGAGAACGCCAAAAGGCGAACAGCACAAAGACAATTCACTATCAGGGAATGTATAGCTCGGGGTGAGCAGCTACAATATGGGACCTTTCTTGCCAGTATTAAACAACCCGTGTTTGTCAGCATCTCCCCTTGTTCTCCGGTATGCTGCAGAGTGCCAGCATGTGCCAATGTATGTCACCTCTGATAAGTACGGATGGCTACGTACGGTGCGAAAGAACTTCAACACACATATACATGCTCCATACGTCGCTATGTGCAAATGTGTGCTACTGTGAACCAACTCAAGCCAGTGTGTGCTGAGCCATGCCGGCATGGCCGTACCAGTGGTGCCGCCCTCGAGCCCGGCTCCATACACCGACACGAGGCTGGGGTCGCCGGTCTGGCCAGGGTCGCCGACGCGCACGCGGAAGGGGCTGCCGGGGATGTGGCTCCCATTGAACTTCACCTCCACGCTGTGCGTGCCGTTCTCCCTGGGCAGGAACCGCACCGCGAACTTGTCTGCGTGCGGAACGCGGCACAGGGACCGGAGGCGTGGGGTGGATTAAACAACTGGCGGTGAGTTGTGGCAAGTGCTTGGCATAAGGTGCTGCGACTATCGCGATCCTCCGTGAACTCGCTCAACCCACTGTGTCTGTTTCACTGTGTCTCTTCCTGTGTTGCTGTTTCTCTCTGTGATTGTCTTTCAGTTATCTACATCTCTTTGTCTCTCTTCACTGTCTTCAAGATCTTCAATAATCTTGTCCCCGTCTCCAACCTCTACCTCATTTCTCTCGACTTCACCTCCGTCTCCACTCCATGTCGCTCGCCCACTCAACAACTTTCTTTAGATGGTGGCACCATGATCGTGAGCACCGGAACCTTGGTCGCCATCACCATCAGCCATGCTAAATCCACTGCTGGACAAAGGCATCCCCAGATCGCCCATCACCCCTTGCCCGTGCGGAGTCCTCACCTGCGTCGATCTCTGTGATGCTGCAGGCCTCCAGGGCGCCTGATGGAGACAGCATCTTGGCGTCGAGGGAGCCGCGCGCGCCATTCAGCTGCACCGCAAACGATGCCGGCTGGTTTATCTTGAGCCCCGATTCCTGCGGGGAGAGAGGCATAATGCGGAGGACGCGTTAGGGGCGAGGACGTAGGGACGGTAGCGAGCTCGTTGGCCGGGTCTAACCCCCGTGTCGGGCGATATCGCCGGTGTTGTTATCGTCACCCCACGCCGCGCATATGGGATGACCGCGGAGGACTTTGTGACGTGGCCTAAGGCCTCGATTGTTTATTTAAAAAATGAAATCGCTGAGGCGCGGCGGCGGCGGTGGCGTCTGCAAAGCTCGACGTGACTACAATCGCCGATCGGCTCAACATCGTAAACACGGAATGCGAAGCGTCGAGTCGCTCGGCTGACGGGTGTCTATGACGCCGATTGCCTCATCTGACACCGTCACCGCTTGGTGACCATGCGGCGGCGCTGGGGCCACCTGGGCCGGGGGGTCGAGGCCGGGGTCTAATGAACGTCGAGGTCACGTGAGGATTAGGACATCGTTGAACCTCGGTCGGCCGCTGTCGCCCGGCTGGAGGCGCAGCCGGCTCACCCACAATCTGACCACAAGCCCTGAGGGACGGTTGGCTCACCTGCAGGCTGGCTACGGTGAGGCGCCTGGCCTCCTCGGATGGCACCGACACAGGCACTGTGAAGGGCGAGTCGGGGATGTGCTCGTCATTGAACCGGATGGACACCTCGTAGTCGCCTGTGGGGACGGAGACAGGATGAGAGTGTGGTCGTGAGGGTGAGTGTGAGGCTGGGAGGGAGAGAGTGAGGGTGAGTGTGAGGGATGTCACCACTGTGCCTAATACAATAACCACAACTGCAACTCTAACTCGAGCACCAACCGCTTGATCCTGAACTTCGAATCCTCGCTCGAACCCCTAACCTAGCCCGAGCCTAAACCACTAATCCCTAACTCCTTCTCGCCCTAACCATAGCCATAACCGAGGCTTCCTAACCCAAAACTCAACCCCAACTCCAACCTCCAAACTCTAGTCTATCGTCCTACCCAAACACCCAACCGTCGTCCCAGGGTTTCAACTTCAAAGAAGTCGACATTTATATTTAAGTCTTTGGGACCTTTTAGCCAATATCAAAGAATGTCAAACCTATTCTTCATTTTCATACAGTGGTATTCACACGAGGGTGATGATGCAGCTGATGCTGATTTAAATTATTATTATGATATGACGGCGACGATGAGGTTGACGATTAACTCACCGGGTTCGGTGACGACGTAAGAGACCCCGCAGGAGCCGTCCTTGCGATCCTCAAATGAGATCTCGGCCTTGCTAGGGCCCTCGATGGCGATGGAGAGCCCCCCAGCCCCCGCCTCCCGCGTCCAGATGCTGAACTCCGCTGTGTGGGGGGGAGGTGACACGACATTACGGAGGGGGGAGTGTTAATGGGGGCTGTGGCAACGGTGTTAATGAGTCTCTAGCAAACGGGCAAAATTAAAACTAGCAGCGCTAGCGTGGTCAAACGGCCGTGGCTTCGCCTCCGTCTCCATACGGAAACATTTGGTCTCTCGTTGGAGTCTGCACGGAGTCCTTCGCATAGAGGCCCCCCCACCGAGCTCTGAAGAGCGTCCAACGCTCTTCTCAATGGACAACTGAATGTTGCGTGAGTGACAGCCGATGCTTGGGATCGAGCTTCGAGCTCAGTGCGAGCGCGGGTGCCGGGCGGATTCTTGCACCCCAGGATCATGAGAGGTGACGGCGTCTTGGGGAGGCCTTCATCCAGCAGCGGAATGAAAATGGCCTATTATGATCGACGTTGGTGGGAAATGTCAACACTCTGAAATATAATGTCGTGTTTTTTATACGACATTATATGATGGATTGCGCGGCCCAGCGGTCGAGCGTTTCGTGATTCAAATGCATCAAGCATCCCTGGTTATTACCGTGGTATACATTAATCAAAAAAGACTACATGTCACCTGCTTCATAGCGGACTCTGTGTGCCGGCGTCATGGTCCAACTCTGCCAGATTCATAAAATTACACCGCAAACGACTCAATTGGGATGACACGCACAGCAACATGGCCCCCCGACTACGAAAACGACTGCAGCCTGTGTCTGTGAAACACAGTGGGGTCATCCGTCACGATGATAGCCTTGGGATACACAGGGATAGCTGCCACCGGAGGTGCACCTTGGCTAAACCACAGAGCAACATCACCCCCCAGTGTGAACACGACTGCACATCGTGTCTGAAACCCAGCGGTGCCTTTCTTCGTGATATCCTTGCGCTATAAGAAGGCTACCCTTGCCCATTCTCTTCCTCTTCCCTCCCCTCACCCCCCCAATTCCTTCCCTCCCCTGCCCTTCCCTTACCCCTACGTACCCTCTATTGTGGTCACCCATTCCTCATCTCTTGCACGCCCCTGCCATGTAAATAATTTGTCTCGTACCATTTTAAAATCACACGAAGCACCTCCATTTAAGGCGCTCTTAATATAAGATGAGAGTATCGCTATTGCACGTGTGCACACACGCGCGAATATGCACACTCACCCGGCATGCCGGCCTCCCCTCGCTCCAGCCCCGGCCCGCTGGCGCGCACCTTGTTGGGGCCTCCCTCTCCGAGCGGCCCCACCGTGAACTGGAAGGGGCTGCCGGGCACGTGCTGCCCGCGGTAGCGCACGGCGACGGTGTGCGCGCCGGTCTCGCGCGGTACGAAGCGCACGCTGTATGTGCCGTCGTCGCCCTCTACGATCTCGGCTTCCTCCGTGCGCCCACCGGGGCTCGTCACCTGTGCTGTCAGCTCGTACGTGCCGGCCTCTGCGAGCGGGGGAGCGGCGGTGCCGGACGGTTAGCACGCTGCATATTCGGACGCGGGGCTTAAAAGTGCATTGTGGGGGAGACACGCGCTTAGGATCGCGCTGAGAGACAAAGCAACGCCCAGATCTGCGCCGTGTAGCCTCCTTTATCCGGCACAACAGAATCTGCTTGAGCGTGCAGTGGATCGGCACATGGGCTATACGACCCAGCCAATTCAGCCTTGCTTGCCAGAGGAGCTAACTGATGGGACTTAGTTCTGATCACATACACGAAACTACAACGGCCGTCATTCGCCAATAAGTGGCGGTGACATCACCACAGCGCTTGTGTCAGGCTATATGCACCTTGAGGTCACATGGTTACAGGACAGACCCAAGTTTTATGGGTTAACTGACTGAGATGACTGACAGATGCACCATCTGTGCTCCCCACTGTGCCACCATATTTGGCAACACGACAAATACAAAGACCACCCTATAGCCTTAACGGACTGTTGGGGCAATTGCTGTTAGCGAGCACCAATAAAGGCTGGCAAGGCATACGACGGGGCGATTAGCTAGCACCACGCCCTGTCACCTTTGTCTCCCTAGCGCTGACCTTTATACACCACTCCAGGTACTCAAGGCTGAGTCGACCTAGAGGAGGCCCAGGTCCGGTTCAAATATTCACCACTGTTATAGCCTGGGAGTCTGGATGGCAATCGGGTCACTTGGTTCTCAGCACAGTGCACTGTGGTACCACACAGGTTGGCCAGCACCACTCCTGGCACCACACACACATGCACATACATGCACGCATACGCACACATGCGTATGCACACGAGTGTACACATACACACGAAACAGCGGTGCCAGTGCTAGCGCCGCGGCTCACCGTCGGGACGGAAGGGCGAGCGCGTGTCGCGGCCGATGAGGTCCCCGAAGACAGCGGGGAAGGACGGCGGCTCGCCGCCGCCCACCTGCGTGGACTCCTCCACGCGCACCTCCCGCTTTGTCTCCCCGCCGCGCGTCTTGCTGATCTCCGTGCGCTCCGTGCGCGTGTATGTGTGGCTGCTGCGCGTAAACGTGCGCGTCAGCCGGTCCTGCGCCGACACCATCTGAAACCAGTTCCCTGCGGCGGACAAAACGCACGGGCCCCTTCCGTTAATCTCACCGCTGGATGAAGGCCTCTGCGCTCCGTCCGGGGCCATGGTAGAGGTTACAGAACCTGGCCGACCGGCATGGGTTTGTAAAGGTGCAGAGGCAGACTGGGAGCACAGCAGTTCAGTACAGCAATAGGTGGATTTTTATGTATCACTTTAGGGTTACGGTGGATTCGTACGCGTCGTGTTAGGCCAGGCAGTAGGGAAGGGTTGTGCGCGCCATACTACGATTCCGGTGAGCTGATTTTGGCCGCACCTTTACCTATTATATACATCGTGTGTAATTGTTACGATCGTGACGAGGTATTGAACCGAGGAAGGGGTGGGGGCGGGAGGATCATGAGATGCGTCGTGGTGGCCACCGCTCCCCCCCCCCCGCACTCCTTACCGGGGATCTTGAGGTTGAGGTCGCAGGTGGACCCCACGGTGGCGATGGACGGTGCTTGGCGGCGCCGCGTGATGCTCTCCTTCATGCGGCCCTCGCCTGATACCTTCACCGAAAATGGACTCCCTGCTCACACACAGAGACAAAGGTCCCCCGTGTAGTCTTCAATAGGGGCACGTGCTGTTAGCGAGCACATATCAAGGTCGGCACAGCACATGAATGTGTGCGTGGGCGGCACCATGCTCGGCCGCCTTTGTCTCCCCGGTGGCGATGCTTCATTCACACGCACGCACGCAGCGTCACATTCTACCGCTCGTACCACCCCACGCGGTGCCGTGTAGCGGAGCCTGTACCGGGCACGTGCTGGTCGGAGAACTTAATATTGATGATGTAGGTGCCGGGCTCTGTGGGGCAGTAGGTGACGCGGCACGTGCCGTCCTCCTGGTCCTCGCAGTTGATGTCCACCTTGCTGGGGCCCTCGATGGACAGGCCCAGGCCCCCGTAACCTGGGCGATTAACGAGCGGACCGTCAGAGCGGTGGCAACGTGGCCAGGGAGCCCGTGCCATGCACGGGGGTTGTGTCCCAATCCACACACACACATTCATACAAAGACAAAGACCCCCCGTATAGCCGTTATAGAATGTGGGGGGGCAACTCCTGTTCACGAGCACCTATGAAGGCCGGTAAAGGCACTCGAGGGGGTGGATGGCCAGAACCACTTCTGGCCGCCTTTGTCTCCCCAGTGCTGATGTTTACACACCAAAGCAGGTACTCATTTCAGACTTAGGTGACCTAGGAGAGGCCCAGGACCGGTTCAAATATTCACCATTATTGGTCGTGAGCAGGAATTAAACTCGGGTCGCCAGCTTCAGTCAGCGTAGTACGCTGACAACCAGGCCACCGCTCCCCATACACACACATGTAAACACACACACACACGTGTACACATACACACGTGCCCACTCACCAGCGCCGCGCGTGTCCACCACGAACTCGGCGACCTCATAGGTGCGTCCCTCGGAGAGGCCGCGTCCCCAGGCCTTCACCTTGGCCGCGTCACCGATGTCTGACGGCCCCACGGTGATGCGGAATGGGCTGTTGGCCACATGGCGCTCGCCCTTGCGCACGCTCACCATGTGCTCGCCTGCCTCGCGCGGCGTGAACGAGATCCCTGGGCAACGCACGCCATGATGCACGCGTCACTACGGTGGGTCCGCAGGCATTGTCCATCCCCACCTACCGACATAGATTGACGTCCCCCCTGACAGCCACCGAATTGAGCCATGGACATCCACTGACATCCTCCCTGATAGCCATCAATATCCAATCCCATAGCTGCCGTCATCATCCACCGACATCCACCAAGGTGGCAGCCACACCGTGTGGCTACATCATGATAAATTGCTTTTCCACTGTCAGATGTGAGCCGTGCCAGAGCCGTGCTGGGTCATCCCGGCGCACCTCTGGTGGCACCAGTGTTATTTTTGCACTGCAAATGCCGAGCCGTGCCGCTCACGGAACATGTGATGTCGAGAAGCGTCGGAGCTGTATTCCACAAGTGTCCTCAAAGCGTACCGACATCACAAGTGGTGAACGAGATGATGCGGTGATGCCGAGTGCGGATTATACCGGCTACAGCATCATTAGCCCCATCCCTGGCTCCGCTCGACCAGATTCAGATGTCTTCTTGTGACACCAGCGAATCACTGTTTGTTCATGGCTCGGCAGTGAAAAACCACTCAAAAGGTGACAGCTCCGGGCTGGTCTGGCTTGGATGTGCCAGTGGAAAACAAATAAGTATTTGAGTCGTGTCTGTGCTGCAGCGGACGGAGGCGGCATGTGTGTGTGCATATGTGGTTGTGTGTGCGCTAGCGAGAACGTGCTAGCCCCACCGATGTGTCCGTTGGGCAGACGCTTGAGCAGGCAGGCTTCCTCCTTGCCGGACGGCGCGCAGATGCTGGAGGAGAGCGAGCTCAGGTCCGACTCGAGGATCTTGAGCGAGACGTCGGTGGCGGTGCCCACACTCAGCTGCGTGGTCCTCACTGAGCCGTCCCCTGCTCGCACGCACGCACAAAGACAAAGATCCCCCGTATAGCCTTTAACAGACTGTTTGGGAAAGTGCTGTTAGCGAGCACCTATGAAGGCCAACACGACATACGAGGGGGTGGTGGAAGAACCACGTCCGGCCGCCTTTGTCTCCCCAGTGGCGATGTTCAGATAATCTTCACTGGTATTGGCTGTGAGCAGGAATCGAACTCGGATCGCCAGATTCGTACCGTAGAGCGCTAACCACTACACTACCGCTCCTGAGAGCGCACACGCGTGTACGAACACACGTGCATGTAAGCTGCAGACGACCGTGATGCAAGCGTCAAAAATATGCCACTCACATGCTGGGCATGCGACATGGCCGGGTTTCACTCAGGCGAGTCCCCAATGGTAGCACGACCTTCCACGGGAGTTTCATTTACATCAGATCTCTGTCACGAGAGTTACCATGACCCCGCGCAGCAGATATGAACACGTGAACAAATCAACGGGAGAGATGGAGCGATGGAGAGCTGGTGCGCTGACTCCCTCGACCTTAGTTGCGAAACGTGGCAGACGGAATTCTCGGCAGGCCCTGAGAGATGCCTATGCAACGTCTGTACTCGTTTTTTGCTCCGGGGTCCAAACAACATTCATTATTGTAACCCCGGAGGTCAAATTCGAAGGGGTGAAAATACTCTCCCTCAACTAGGTTTGTGCTCGTACCGATGATCTTGGCGGTGAAGGGGCTGCCCGGGATGTGCTGGTCGTCGAACTTGACGATGATGCTGTAGGCGCCGGGTGCGGTGGGCAGGTAGGATACGGTGCACGTGCCGTCCTTGTTGTCCTTGCAGGAGATCTCCGCCTTGGAGGGCCCCTCCACGGCCAGAGAGAGACCTCCTGATGACGGGACACAAACACGGACGGGCACGTCATTGTCTAGAGCGGTCTTTGTGAGAGTCGTGCCTCTCACGGCCTGATCCCCGTATCTTTGTTCCCCCATCTCTGTGGTGTCTGTTCCCCTGTCGACATCTCTCTGTTCCTCCGTCTCCATGTCTCCCCTGTGTCTTTCCCGTCCCAGTTCTTCCCCGGTCCCTTTGTCTCACCTGTCTCCATGTCTTCCCTGTTACCGTTTTTCCCCTGTCCCCGTGTCTCCCCTGTCCCCGTGCCTCTGTCTCCGCTGTTCCCGTGTCCTCGCTCCACATGTGAGTGGGCACGTCACCTTCGCCCGCGTTCTTGGTGATGATGGTGAAGATGGCCGGCTTGTTGGCCACGCCATGGGACAGCCCCGGCCCGAAGGCGCTCACCACTCCGCTATTTACCGCGTCCACGTAGAACTGCAGGGGGCTCCCTGTGCAAGGTGGTGGGGGGAGGGGGGGTGGACACGGGGTTCAACAGTCAGGTCGTTTTGACAGTCGTGATCAATCCGCGACTGGATGAAGACCTCCCCAAGCTGTTCGCCGGCAATCATGGCGCCATGATGCATGGATGCACCCCAGCACCGCCAGCGCACGAGCCTAGCGTGGCGTTCCGTCTCTGCTGTGGACGTCCTCTCAGGCACGTCATCCCTTCTGGACATGACGTGTCCTGCCCACGTGCACTCACTCTTGTCATCAGTGCATGTTCTCTGATTCAGCTGTTCCTCAATCTTCCTCTCTGCTTCTTTGTGCACTTTTCACCTTTTGCTCTCATTTATTCGTCAATGTTTCAGATCCATACTTTAATCATTATCACTCCATTTGCTTACCCAGAAAAGCCTCACAGAGTCTCATGGCTTTTTTTCAGGAGGGTCCTACCGAGTTGTTGCCGTGTGGATTCCGATCGAGCAATCTATCGCTGCGCGACCACGGCAGCTTCCGATACGCACTGACCCCGCAGCGTTCTACCACCCAAATCGGTTCACCGCTCTTGCTGTTCAGTTCAGCATTCGCCTCTATGCATCAATTATTGACATAAGCACAACCGCAACACCGGCGTCATAGTGTGGGAGCTGAGCTGTGTGGGAGCGGCGCAGCTTACACAGAATGCATCGCCACTCGCACAGCAGCAGCGCAAGGCATACATTATTGAGTAGAACGTCGCTCGTAATGGCTCTATTCACAGTGCAATGGGTGGAAGGGGGGGGGGGTGCATGATTAAACATAATTGCTGAGCATAGTGAGTGGGTGGGTGAGTTAGTTATTCTGTTGTGACCTGCAGTGTGGTGGTAGCTGAATGCAGTGTGGATGATGAGATGAAACAGTGTCTGGCAGACCGAATGATGGGGCGTTGCGTGATTTCATCTGAAATTCTCCATCCCAACCGAGCCACGTTTGACTCACAGCCAAACCGGCTAGCAAATGCCATCCTCTCCGGATTAAGAGATGCTCCGGAAAGTAAGACATGACCCAAACTTGTGCCCGGTCTCTTAAACCAATCTGGTCTCAATCATGCACAGCGACCGGATTCTATTATCAGACACTCCAGCTTTTGCTTTAAAGCAGAGGCGAAACAAGTGAGTCATACAATCTTAAGAATCCGGTATTCTACAGCCCACAGCATATCGTATGGTGACATCGTGAGCATCACCATTCTCTGTAAGCTCCCGTAGCACCGATTACATTGTGGGCACAAGCCCCTCGTCTCTATCAGAGTGGGTGGAGGCCAGTAAGAGATGGACAAAAAACGTGGCAAATTACTGGAGAAATGTACGTTTTTTATATGGAAATTATTTCGCACCGTGCATAGCCAACTGTTTATATCGGAGGTGTTTCAAAGAAAAAAATTACCAATGACCCGTGTCTCATGGAGCGGTGTTGTGCGGTGTGGTTGCAGTGCAGTGTGGTTTGGTGTTGTATATTGCTACGTGGTGTATAACGTGGCATGGTGTAGTGCGGCGTGGTTGCGGTGCGGGGGGGGGGTACCTGGGATGTGGCTGCCGTCATACTTGATTTCCATCTCATGGAGTCCGGGCTCTGTTGGCGCGTACTTCACCGTCACCGTTCCGTCCTTGTTGTCCGTGATGTCCGGGCGTGCCGTCTTTCCTGACGGCATACGGACTTGTCCTGTATGAGGAGGAGGGAGAAAGCAGGACGGAGCAAGAGGTGGGGGGGAGTAGAAGTGACATCATGCTCACCCAACTCCTCTTCCTCTCCATCAATACCCAGCCCCAACCCCCTCCCCTTTGGCACATGTACGCACAGAGTGTGTGTGTGTGCCACTTAGTGGCGAATGGTGGTTGTGAGTACACGTGTGCTAGTGTGTGCATGCGAGAGTGCGTGTGTGCGATTGTGTGCGTATGCAAACCGGTGATCTCCCCCTTCTGCACGGTGAACGGGATGACGAGGTTAAACGGCCGGAGCCCGCCGGGGGTGGCGTCCGTGCCGCGGGGCGGCTGGTCCGTGGCCTGAGCACGCACAGAGAGACAAGCGGGGACATCGTCTTGGCAAGCCTCGCGCAGCGTTGGCTTCGTTCGGGTCGTTGGAAGTATGCAACGTCACGTAAATTGCTTCGTGAAGCGCTCTTTAAAAAGCGTGCTGGAGAGTCCTGTCGCAGCTCGGGGCTCCGTGTTGAGAAGACGAAAATTCTGCAGCCCCGGTCATTTGATTATGCATGCAGGTGAATTCGTTGAGAAACTGCAATACGTTGGCTTCACCATGACAATAATAATAAGCACGTAAATTTGTCCAGCGCCATAGTTCAAAGACAATGTGATGAGGCCGAGGCCTGTGACGATGCTTCAGTGTAGAGGTGCTTTTAGACCCACAGACTAAAACGAGTCACGTAGGATCAGACTGACCTACAGACTTACAAAAGAGACTCTAATTAAAATATAAATCCATAAGGTCACAAAGAGACTCATTGACTTACATAGAGAACCATAAACTTACATACCATTAGACTTACATTAGAGAGACCCATAGACTCACACAAAGACATATACAATTACACGGAAGCATAGAGATTCACAGTCGTTCGTAGACTCACACGGAGTCCCCCTGCCACTTGGAGCAGAGTCTGGGGCATCGCGCCGAACCACGCGCGGTGCAACCCGAACCACGCGTGGGAGCCGTGCCACACAGCGGCGAGAACCGGCACAGTGACGTTCGCACACTCATGCCGCCCACAGCGCACTCATGCCGCCCACAGCGCCCTCATGCCGCCCACAGCGCACTCATGCCGCCCACAGCGCCCTCATGCCGCCCACAGCGCACTCATGCCGCCCACAGCGCCCTCATGCCGCCCACAGCGCACTCATGCCGCCCACAGCGCCCTCATGCCGCCCACAGCGCACTCATGCCGCCCACAGCGCACTCATGCCGCCCACAGCGCACTCATGCCGCCCACAGCGCACTCATGCCGCCCACAGCGCACTCATGCCGCCCACAGCGCACTCATGCCGCCCACAGCGCACTCATGCCGCCCACAGCGCACTCATGCCGCCCACAGCGCACTCATGCCGCCCACAGCGCACTCATGCCGCCCACAGCGCACTCATGCTGCCCACAGCGCACTCATGCCGCCCACAGCACCCTCATGCCGCCCACAGCGCACTCATGCCGCCCACAGCGCACTCATGCCGCCCACAGCGCACTCATGCCGCCCACAGCACCCTCATGCCGCCCACAGCGCACTCATGCCGCCCACAGCGCACTCATGCTGCCCACATGCCGCCCACAGCGCACTCATGCCGCCCACAGCACCCTCATGCCGCCCACAGCGCACTCATGCCGCCCACAGCGCACTCATGCCGCCCACAGCGCACTCATGCCGCCCACAGCACTAGTGGGTGCGATCGCGCCTCGTCGTACCAGCACGTGGAAGGGGCTGTTGGGGACCAGCTCGCCGCCGAAACGCACGGTGATGGTGTAGTTGCCCGGCTCGGGCGCCGTGTAGTAGATGTCGAAGGTGCCATCGCGGTTCTCCACCACGTCCACGTCCAGCTCGGCACCGTCGGGGCGGGACACCGAACACGTCACCTTGCCCTTGCCGGCCGCCTTGGCGTCCACCGTGATCACCGTCTCCTCATTGATCTGGATCGTGGGGCCCACACCGGCGCCTGGCACGGGGGCGGGGTGGGGCGAGGGGCGGGGGGGATTCGGGTTACCGCCTGCCCCGGTTGTCCCAGGATCGTCTGCTTGTTGAAGAGGAAGCTGGTATCGTGAGATATAATTTTTCCCATATGTCCTCGTCACGCTTCTGTTGCTATGGCCACGGTTGCCGTTCATGTCAACGTCTTCACACATTGATTCCTCCACCCACGTTACGAACTTGGTCTGACAGACACTGACCTATTCACTCACTCAACCACTCACTCAACCACCAGACTGCAGACCATGCACTCACCCACCCATACACTCAACAACCACATTCCAGATCATGCACGCATCCACCCACGTACTCACTGAACCACCACCCTGGAGACCATGTACGCGCCCACCCAAATGTACACCTCTGTATAGGGCGGATGAGTGTGGATTGTTCATCCTGGAGCTGTACTTACCCAGCCCGTGGCCCCCGATGGACACTGCAGGGAGGGACACAGGGCAGAGGAGAGAGGGTTAGCAGCAATCCTCCCAGCGGTGAATCGCCATCCCAGCGGTTGACGGCTGCAGCTCCAACGCGTCCGCGCTCGTGCACGTGCTGATGTGCATATTCAGCATCGCGCGTGTCTGTTCAAGTGCTCGTGCACGTGCTGATGTGCATATTCAGCATCGCGCGTGTCTGTTCAAGCGCTCGTGTACGATTTATGGAAAGCGGTAGCGTAGTGATTACTGCGCTGCATTTCGAACTCAGTGACCCAAGTTTGATTTCCGCTCATGGCCAATACCAGTGACGATTATCTGAAACGGTCCTGGGTCTCCCTTAGGTCGACTCAGCCTCAAACGAGTACCTGGTGCGTCCCCCACTCACTGACGCGCACCCGCACGTACCAGTCACGGTGCACTTGCTGGCGTCGCCGGTGGGCAGGGCGCGGATGCGGTACGGTGAGTAGGGGATCTCGTCTCCGCCGTACTTGATGGTGATCGTGTAGCGCCCCGTCATGTCCGGCACGTACGACACCGTGTACGTGCCATCGCCGTTGTCCCTGATGTTCGCTTTTTTCGGCTTCCCGTCCGGGTCCTGCCAGAGATCGTCGCCACCAAGCACTCCGCTCACAACGGCGCTTGTTTATTGCAGAGGTTCGCGGTTCAAGCGCCCCTGGTCGTCCCGGTTAACGCCGCGGCTACATTGCGTACGACGGCATCATGGTCCACATTTTTTGGACTGTGAATTGCTCACAGTGAATTAGAGATTAGTTAATTTGAATAACCAATTAGCAACACCGCAACCGAAAACTTCCAGGCTGGTGCTGCGTCACTTTGTGCCGCACAGGAACACCTGCCAATGGGGGTGCCCTTCACATTATTAAAGAGATGAGATTTATGGCACTTTCAGATGCTTGGACATTCAAGAAAGTTTCCCAATAAATTAAAACCCTTGTCTTGTCCTTTCATTACGAGGGGTGCTGCAAAGAAACCTATTACAAGGTAAAGGTGCAGCATTGTAATTGCTCGCTCACGCCAATGCTGACAGATCTCCAAGGTAGGGTACTTGGCCTACTCTCCACAATGGCCAGACGTCTTGGAAGAGGTGGGAGCACCCACACTTTATCCCATCATAGGCGACCTGCCGATCTACTTTCTGTGGAGTTACTCGTTTAAGAAGCTGTTTGCATTGCTAAAATGTACAGAGCTTGGTCACTCTGTTTGAGCTACGTTAGTTATGGGGGTTTCTTAACTGCAGAGCTTGGATAATTCATGTTTTATTAAAAAATACTGGAGGATACCTAATGTGGATACAAAGTGAACGATTTAACCGTGTCTCATGTGAATCAGATAAAAAAGACCAATTACAATATACAAACGCAATGATATCTCAGTCACATGCAAATAAGATTTTGCCCAACTCTGAACCGTCACTTCTTTGACCATACTTCACCACGCTCGTCAGTGCAGGGGCTGGTGAAGAGGGTAGACGCCCAGGACCGGTTCGGACTTCACTCGCCACTGATGTTGGTTTATGTTCCAGAGAATTGATTTCAGGTCACCGGGTTCATGTCACGGCGTGCTACCCACAGCGCCAGTGGTGCCCAGCTCCCAAACGGAGCTTGTGTCGGGGAGAATTCTATTTGGCAGTGCCAGTCGGTCACAAAGCTGACGTTCATTTCTGGGGGCCCACTTTTGTTTTGTTCACCCAAAAACGATACCAACTAACTATGTTTAATTTCATCAGGGAAGGCCCACTTGAGCTATAAAGCCCTTTTTCAGAAGTGACCTGGCCACTAATGATAGCTCAACAAAGTGGCTGATCACGTGAAAATGTATTTCAGCCAAATACTCTAAAGGTATCTTTCTAAATGTGGAGGGAAAACCAGAGGACCCGGAGAGAAATTGACGCGACCACGGGGAGAGAGATGAACCCACGACCTCATTTATACCAGGTGAGGGAGTTAACATCTCGCCACCGTGGCGCCCCAAAGACGGAGACCGGGGAGCGAAGGACCCATGCCATTCGCACGCGGCAGTGAAAAAAACCACACACCCCCGCGCCATGCGCCCTGGCGTCGTCGCTGCTTGGCTCCAAACCCCAAACGCAAGCACGCGGCGCCAGCACGAGTACCACCGGCTGCTCGGCCGCCTGGCGAGTGTGAGGGGAGGAAGGTGAAGTTTGGCGGCACCCCCCCACCCCGATCGAGAAGCAATGGATTGCGTGCTGCAAGTTCGTGCTGTGCAGAGAGAAAGGGGCGATCTTTGCAAAGCCACCGAGCGAAGGGCAAGCAGCAGTCCATCCAAGCATGCCGCATTCACTTGCAGGCACAGGCCAGGCTGGAGGGGGCGAGCGGGGAGGAGGGGGGGGCGCCTTACGGAGAAGGTGGTTGGGGTGGAGTGGGGGGCGGCCTGAGGGGCCTGGGGAGAAGGCTTTGAGCCCTCCATCGCTCGGGATTTCCAATCGCGAACGAAAATCGTCGCCTCGGACGTGTTTCCCTTCGCGTCCTAGCGAGAGGGAGGGAAGCGGGGGGAATGGGACGAGGATGATGACGATGGTGACGATGGTTATCATGACACAACCATCGCATCGTGGGTTATCGACTCCTCACTTGATTGGCCCAAAGAGAGTCACGTGATTAGTGGAAGCAGATCCCGATTGGACAAGGGCAGCACTAGAAGCAAAATTCCGATGTGGAGCAGAGGGAACCTCGACGGGGACGAGGGTAATGGCGGCGTCCTCCGGTGGGGCTAGAGGCCAAGGTTCACCGAGCTCCCACGCAAGGGGTCAAGGGTCACCGATCCCCCTTGTGCAAGAGGGAATTTGCACAACCGGAGCCCCTTGACCAGGGATCCCAGCATTCGGACCACGAGCAGCGCGGCAGTGACCACGTGCGAAGATCATCCCGACTCCACGGGGCACGTGGAACACACGCGCACCTCGACGCCACCCGTGCCATCTCACCACGAGCGTGCATAACCGCGAGTGTGATCGTTACAGTGTTGAGCAGCGGTGTCCCTGGCAGGGTTTCCTGTGTCCCCATGTCTCCATCTCTGTCCCCTTGTCCCATGGCTCCAACTCTCTTGTCTCTCGCCATGTCTCGGTGGAATCTGCTGTTCGGTCCCCAACCGTCATGTCACCGCATTCCCAGCTGTGTTTCCATTTCCCCGCGTGTCCAGCTGTGTCTGAAGTGTCTCAAGCTGTGTCCCCACATCCCCAGCTGTATCTCCGTGTCCCCAACTATGTACCCACTTCCCCAGCTGTGTGCCATCTGTGACCCCGTGGCCCAGCTGTGACCCAGCTGCGTCCCCGTGTCTGACACCTCCACGTCCCGCACCGCGTCCACGCACCGTGATCTGCACTGTCAGGAGGCCCTCTCCGGCGTCGCGTGCGTCGATGGTGAACTCGACAGGGAGGCTCGCCGACACGCCCGACGAGTTGAGGCCGGGCCCACTCGCCTTCACCTTGCTAGCATCGTGCGTCGGCAGCACTTTGATCTTAAATGGACTGCGGCGACCCAATAGAGACGTAATTATAAAAATTATCTCGATTTTAAAATGCGTCTTCATCATAAAATCTCAGAACGTTATACACACACGCAAAAAAACACTCCCAAGTGTAAATAATTCCAAACGAAATACAAAAAAAGTTGACAAGGACTATAATAACTACACCCCCGAAATAGATAACATGAAGATCTGTGATACAAGCCAATGATAAAACTACAGGCTACAGGAAAAAAAGGCTTTGAATTTAAAATCGGTTTTCAAGCTGGAGCCACGATTCTGGATGTGGGCAGGGAGAGCAGGGGTCCTCCACAGCAGCAGAACGCACGATCGCTGAGCGGTCGCCTCTGAGATTTGTACAGAGAGGAGTTGCCCAGGGGGCGTAAATTGGAGCGTAAATTGACAAAGGTCCCACGTTTCCTCCCACACGCTGCTGCTACTGATGCTGCTGGGGTAAGTGCTGTGAGCGAGCGCCTGCACAGGCTGGCAACGGCGTACAAACGGGCAGTGCAGCCGGCGCCATTCCCGGCCGCCTTTGTCTCCCCAGCGCCGATGTTTACAACTCACTGCAGCAGGTGCCTGTGCTCCTGCGCGTGTATCTAAACGAGCACCCACGCTCCACCGTGCCCACGACCGCCGCGTACCTGCGGGGCACCTCCTGGTCCCCGTACTTGACCCCGATGGTGTAGGGCCCATCCTGGCTCGTCAGGTAATTGACCGTGTGCGTACCGTCCCCGTTGTCCTGCACCTCCAGTGGCTCGGGCAGACCTGGACATGACCGCGGGAGCGTGAGTGTCGCGGCGGTGGCACGGACAAAGAATCGGCTCGGAACTCTCGCAGAGCTGCGCCACCCCCCTTGTTCTTAGAGAAGAGCCCGCATTCGGGTGCAGCACTCGTTAGCTTGCTCTGCGCCAGAGATGATTGATCATCGCAGTGACAGTTAAACCGATATTTGCCATGTTCAGAGCTGGAATTTTGACAAATGAAGTGCAGAGCCAAATAATATATAGGTTGGATTTTTTTAACAGTCTTTGGTGATCAGGCTGAGAATATTATGCTTAAGAATCTTGTTAAGTCACAAATCAGTGGCGGTGAGTCTATCAGTCTCTACGTTAAGTCTATGGGTCTCCATTTTAATCTGTGAGTCTCTATTTGAATCTATGGGTCTCGATGGATGTAAGTCATTGGTGACCAGGCTGCTACCATTCACTATACGGTTTGATCACGTTTGGATTTGGCTCTCGGCGGTACTGGCTCCGAATCTCTCGAGCCACCCGGCCGCATCCTTTCCCTTCCACTGCTGACACTCAGCACTGCGCAAGAGCCTGCCAGGGCGGTCGTCATTACCGTCGTCACCGTCGTCACCCTCATCACCGTCGTCACCGTCGTCACCCTCATCACCGTCGTCACTGTCGTCACCCTCGTCACCCTCGTCACCGTTGTCACCCTCGTCACCGTCGCCACTGTCGCCACCTTCATCATCGTTGCTACCTTCATCGTCACCATCGTCACCCTCATCAGCCTAGTCACCGTCGTTACCCACGCCACTCTCGTTGGGATGGCGACGCGCGCGGGCCTCACCGCGTGGATCCAGCACCATAACCTCCAGCGTGGCACGACCGGCCTTGCTGCAGTCGACCGTAAAGGTCTGCGGAATCCCGGCGCGTACCGCAGGCCCCAAGCCAGGCCCCGAGCAGCGCACCTTGCTGGCATCCACTGCGTCCTTCACCAGCACCCGGAACGGGCTCCCTGCTCCACCGCCGCACAGAAACCACGCCACAACGACAATCGCCGCATGAGTTTCTGCGACGATAGGCGTCCCAGTTAGCGGGGCGACGCAGCACCGAGACTGCCACACAAAGCCATCCACTGCTGGATAAAGGGCCTCTCTGTGTGCTGCTCGTTTGACTAATTTACCATGTTGGTCAGTATGGCCTTTTGAAGTGGGGGGGGGGGGTGGAATGGGTCCCAGGACTGTTTCAGACATCACTCACCATTGATGTTACTCGTGGTCTGGAATTCAACTCAGGTATTCAGGTTCAAAGTGGAGTGCTTGAACAGAACAACCCTGCCACCTTCCCCCCCCCCTCCCCATCAGGGACTTTGACTCTGCCACTTCACATTCGCCGTCGAGTGCAAGGAGAGAGGAGCTGCGGCCCACGGGCTGGGTACGGCGCAAGTTCATTTCTGGCGGCCTGCGTCCACACGAGGCCTTCCACCTCCACATTTACCCATCGCTGCCAGGATCCTAGTCACACTTATTGACCTGCCACAAAGCACTGTGCTTCAAGTCGCCGGTGAAGGTGAGCCATGATTACTCTTCGCATTATTATCGGATAGCTCCGAGGTGTGGGTGTGTGCGAGTGAAGGTATAGTTGCCCGCCAAACTAAACTAAAAATGTAACTATTTTATTTTACCAGGTAAGGCCTACTGCTCTATGTAGCTCTTTTTCAGAATTGACCGAGCCACAAATGATAGCTCAATGAAGTGGCTTAGCACATGGAAATGTATCACGGCCAAATATTATAAACGCACGTTGATGTAGAGGGAAAATCCAGAGGACCCGGAGAAAAATCCACGTGATCATGGGTAGATAGGCATGCAAACTCCAAATATACTGGCGTCAGGGTTGGAATTGAACTCATGACCCTCCTGTATACCAGGCAAGGTACTTAACATCTCGCCAACACATTCTGTTTGGCCCCGAGTGAGGAAATGGTTCCTTGGCCTGCCGTCCCATCGCCGCGCCTCCACCGGCCATCGAGCCGCTGGAATGGATCGTCCACGGGGTCGTTAGGAACGCGATCGCGGGTGGGTGACGGGCGTCCGCGTGCGTGAGGGCCTCACTGGGGATGTGAAGGCCCCCGAAGGTGATGTTGATGTCATAGTCCCCGGGGGTGAAGGGGATGTACTCCACACTGCAGCTGCCATCTTTGTTGTCTTTGCAGAGCATCTTGGCCTCGGAGGGGCCCTCGATGGCCAGGCCCAGGCCGCCCGTGCCCGCACCGCTGTGCACGCGTCAACATCATCATAGTCGTCATGGTTATCAATGCGAGCATTTTCATCCTCACCGACACTGTCAGCACCGCCGCAGACAATTGTCTCCATCGCCATTGTCTCCATCACCATAATCATTGTCATGACCACCCTTATATCAACATTGCAGTTGTCATCAACATTCCCAGCAACTCCACCACCTTAGGGTGGCAGGGTGGCGGTGCATCGGTAATGCTCGTGCCTCACAGCAAGAATAGCCTAGGTTAGAATTCTGTCTCTGGCACCTTTCTGTGTGGAGCTTGTGCATTCTCCCCCTGTTCTGCAGAGAACGAGTGAACGTGTATGTATGAGAGTGAGTGCAAAATATATGTTCTCCCCCTGTTCTGCATGGTTTTCCTCGGCATTCCACGGTCTCTTGCCATTGTAAAAAAAAATACAACCATAGCGTAACTGGTATTGGCAAGAACATTCCAGTGCTGAAACATTCTCTGAAAATTACTCGATCAGGATGACACACAGCAAACAGCATTTGCCCCCCTCCAGTGAAAACCTACAAGGACCCTCCTGAAAAAGTGTTGAGAATTTCATGGGTAAACAAGCGTAAATTAAAAAAAGGGTTACGTAAATAAAAATTACAAATCATCACCGTGGTAATGATGGTGATGAGGCAGTACGAGTGCTCACCGAGTCTCCACTGTGAAGCGGTTGGGGGTGTGCGTGAGGCCTCCCTCCAGGCCGGGCCCGTAGGCCCGCACCCTGGTGGGGTCGCAGCCCTCCTTGACCTCAACGCGGAACGGGCTCCGCGGAACTGGCACCTCGTCCACCGTCACCTCCACCGTGTGCACGCCTAGTGGACGCATGGCCACCGCATACATCGTCAGCAGCAGCAACATCGTTGAATATTTATCATCATATTCATTGGGTCTTTCGGTAAAGCCACGTAGATAGAAAAAATAAACAAAAATATCACGACGTTTCGATCGCAAACATCCTGCCTGAGCAGCTCTCCCGCTATGTTTTCACCTGATGACGATTGCTTGTGCTGCGATCGAAACGTCGTGATATTTTTATATTTTTTTCCATCTACGCGGCTTGAACGAAAGACCCAATGAATATGAATTCCTGCAGTCACGAAAGCTTTAAGTCAAGATTTATCATAATGTTTGTCATCATCACCATCAACTATTCTCACTGTCATTAGCATCATCAGCATCATAAAATATTTCTAATCAGCATCATCAAATATTTATCATCACCATAAAACGTTCTCACGGTCATCAGCATCATCATCAAATTCTTATAATCAGTATAATCAAATATCATTAACATCATCGTCATATGTTTGTCAGAATCACTAGTATCATCATCAAATATTTATTATCAGAATCATCATAGTTGTATCAATCAATGCATATGATCATTTATCATCATCGTCGTCATCGTCATCAACTGTGTATTAATGCCAGATACTAGCGCAGACTGCAGTCTCCGAAGTGATATGGGACGCAAGGAACCAAAATCGCTGGGAACAATCACCACTCAGTACACACAGAGGTGCGGTGGCGGCGCTGGTTACCATTTCTCAGCTTTAAATTCAGACTCGCGGCGCGTGCCTCTCCACATTGACAGTGGAAGTTGACGAGAGGAAAAGCGCGATCAGTGAACTGTGCGAGGTAATAACGGCAATTATCAAGTGCACTTGGTTATTCGTGTAATTCTTAGAGCGCAGGGCTATTGCGGAGGCCGCTGTGTTTTTCATACGAATCGAGTCTGCAAGTAGTGAATGATGTTACGACGTATGTGTGTGTGTGATCCCAATTTAGTGTTTGCAGTGTAATTTTTCAATACATTTTGACACTGGCGCCAGTACGCAGGTGGCAGACTTACGGTGAACAAGCACACCGCAGTATTGACCGGGGCGGCTCGCCAGATTCGAACCGCGAACCTCCGCAAAAAAACAGCAAACACGTTACCACCGCTCGGGTGCCGTCGCTACGCCCCAAGCCCGGGTCCTACATCCGTTGGCCCAGAGAACCCCGGACCCGGCCCCCCCGTGCGTACCCTCCTCGTAGGCGGTGTACTCGGCGCGGTAGGTGCCGTCTCCCTGGTCGGTGAGCGTGGCGTCCGTCTTGGTGCCCGACGGCCCCGTGAGGCGCGCCCGCACCTTCCCTGCAGCCACCCCCGGGCTGCCCCTTGCCACGGTGGTCGTCGTGGTGGTGGTGGTGGTCGTGGAGCGAGCAGAGAACAGGGAGCGAGCATCCACGGTGAACTCGGTGCTCACCTCACGCAGCACGCCTGGGGTGAGGGGATACACAATGGCCAAGCTTAGGGGTGGCACGGTGGCGGCGGCGCAGTGGGAACAATGCTCGTGCCTCTCAGCAAGAAGGGTCTGGGTTCAATTTCCGGCTCAGGCGCCTTTCTGTGTGGAGTTTGGTGGTTTCCTTCCTGTACCTCCCCAACCGTTTGTGATCCCTAAGTACCCTCAATCGCGGTCACTCATTTCTCAATCCTTGCACTGCCCTGCCATCTACATCATTCTATTTTGTCACCGTTATTTTAAATTATGATAAGCGCATTGTGTGAAGGTGCTCTATAAATAAAACATTACATTAGATTAGAGTGAGTGTGTGGCATTTATACGTTATCTTCCCCTGTTCTGCATGTGTTTCCTCTGGGTTCTGTGGTATTCCCCCCATAGCTAAACTCATGCACACAGTGGAACTGGTATTTGCCAAAAGGGGGTGTAAAACGAGGAGGCTGAATATGACCTGCAAATAACTCAGATTCAATCCCTGCCTCTGGTCGCATGGTACTCTACTTGCCTATCCTCTTGGCTACAGCGTCTCATCGCTTCGTGACAATGCTGTTAAAAATGCTTTTCAAGCGTATTTCTTGAATTGAGCTTGGTTATTGTCATGAGAGCTTGAGAGAATAAGAGACGATGGTGGGAAGAGAAGGTAAATATAAAGTGGCACAGTGCAAGGAAAGAAAATGAGAAAGATAATCATTGAGACCTGCAGAGTGGTGAGTGGGTGGGTGAGTGAATGGGCGAGCGAGCGAGTTGTGTTGTTGCAACCTCCAGTGAGATGGTGGTGGTTGAACACAGTGCGCTGGATGAGTGGGCGTGTGACTGTGTGAGTGAATGAGTGAGCGGGTTGTGTTGTTGCAGTGAATTTGTGGTAGTGGCGTAACGCGCGCAGGGTTTGCTGTTGCAGTGAATTTGTGGTGGTTGAACACAGTGTGGTGGTGGATTAGATGACACAGTCAGTGTCTAGTCGCTCGAGTCGTCGACATGGGTGGAGGAGTCAACGAGCGAAATTGGCATGGACGACACCACCGCCGGACGATGGCCTCCTCGCCTGGCCGCGCGCATCAACCGCGGCGCCACCGCTCACCGCGAGGCTCCACGCCGGGGCCGAAAACGCGCACTCCGCTGGTGTCGACGATCGGCTCGATGCGCACGCGCACGGGCACGCGCGGCACGGGAACCCCGCCGTACTTCACGGTGACGGCGTACAGGCCCGGGCCGGGCGGCACGTAGGTGACGGCGTAGGTGCCATCGCCGTTGTCGTGGACACGCACTTCGGCGCGTGCTGCGCCGTCCGCCTGCACCACCTCCACAGTGAGCTCGGCCGTGCCGGCACGGGAGCAGTCCACCGCGAAGACGCACGCCTCGCCCGCCTTGCCGCGCTCCAGCCCGGGGCCCCGAACCGTCACCTTGCTCGGGTCGAACGAGGGGCGCACCTGAAGAGGCCGGGCAGCAGCGCCGGGGGTGAAGCGTTCGCTGAATTAAATTGTCAAATAATTCGTCACTTTGTACTTTGGGATTCGGTTTGGCCAATAGCAGTTGTATTGTGTGTGCGTGTGTGCATGTATATGTGTGTTTAGCGATGGCCTTCATAGGTGCTCGTGAACAGCACTTGGCCCAAGCAGTGTGTTAAGGCTATATGGGGGATCTTTGTCTTTAGCGATGGGAGGAAATTAGTCCGAGACAATGTTGCTCCTGCTGCGTGATCTCAATAGAGTAATTTTTCAGGTAATTTCTCAGCATTGGAATGTTGTAATGGCCGATTTCAGTGACATTCTGCGTATTTTTTTTCACTACGCCAGGAAATTGGAGAGAACTCAGAATAAAATCACGCAAAACGATTGGAAGCAATCATCATGGGGGTGGAGGGGCTGGGTGAAATAGGAAAGGAGGGGGGGGGCGGCACCTGAGCTCGGAAGGGCGAGCCCGGCACGTGGGTGTCAGCGAACAGAATGTTGATGGTGTACTCCCCCGGCGCCGTCGGGAGGTACGACACGGAGCACGAGCCATCGCCGTTGTCCTGGCACTGGATCTTGGCCTCGCACGGCCCCTCCACCGTGAGGCCCAAGCCGCCCGTGCCGGCACCCTTCGTGTCGATGGTGAACGGCGCCGGCTTGCCCACCTCACCGCCACTCAGGCCCGGCCCGTAGGCACGCACCTGTGGGGAGGAGTGGAAGAGAGTGAGGAAGAGGGGCATATGTAGGGAGTGGGCGGGGAGGTGCGGTGGGTAGGGGAGGATTCACTGAGCAGGAACTCTCTGTGTCGGCACCTGGAGCACCACGGTACCAGCCCCGTGGTGTCGGGGGACTGGAGAGGGCTGAGCCCCCGCCCCCACTCCGCTACCTGCTGAAGGCTCAGCGCCCCTTAAGACTGGAAGAATCTGATGAAATATGAAGCTCTTTTTGACAGATGTCCAATAGTTTTCACAGATGTCCAGTAGATATAGTTTGATATTCTAGATATTCTTCCATATTCTCTGTCGCCAAGCCAAAAATTGTCAGTGCAATATTCACATCGAGAGTGACAGCCAGACCAGAACGCACAAGAGATAAAAGAAGATCGCATCGTTACTCATTTTGTTTGGCGTTTAACATTGTTTTTTTCATCTGCTAATGAATACTAGTGGCCCGTTGGCTTTCCAGACCAGACCAACATTCTCAGCTTTATTAACAGTGGCTCTGCGTGAGCACAATGGAACAGGGCGGGAGGTGGGGGGCGGGGCGGGGGGAGGCGAATGTGGTGCCAGGCCACACCTTGGTGGGGTCGGCGGGCGTGATGGCCTCCACGGCGAAGGGGCTGTCGGGCACCGGGTGCCCGTCGTACGTCACCTCCACCTTGTGGGGCCCCTCCTCCTTGGGCACGTAGTGCACGGAGAGGGGGGCGCCTGGCCCGGCCGCGGGGGGCGCCGGCTCTATGCGGCATGGCACAGGCTTGCGCGAGGGCCCCCACACACGCACGTCCAGCTTTCCCTGCCCGCCGGCGTCGCGTGTTGCCACGGTGAAGCTCTGCTCGCGGCCCACGTCGACGCCTACTCCGCAATCAGTGGGGGGAGGAGGACAGAGGCTGCGGTTAAACAATGAGAACGGTGCCGATGAGGTTGCTGTTGTTGTCGTTTTAGCCCCCTGCCCACCGGGGTGTCGCGTTTCACGCGATAAGTGACTTGGGTCGCATCTCAACACATCTGAAAGGGCACCCCCAGCGGCAGCTGTCCGTGTGTGGAACAAGGTCACCGAGTACTGGGTTGCGGAGTGGGCATGAGTTTTGCCAGTAGGAGGTGATGATTGCTGCTATGCATCTAAATCCTAATTGATATACGTAAAGTTTTCCAGACTTTGGCAAAATTTGGACTGCGACACCGGCACAGAACGGCCGAATCATTTACAAGGATGTCAGGGGATCTTTAATGTACTCTGTGAAGCAGAGGGTGCGCACATCTTCAAGGTTAGTCCCCACACTGGAGAATTATGCAGGGCAGCTTGGCGGATTCGAGGCCGCGATCGTCATCAGTGATCGATCACGCAGCCCTGCAGTTTATTGATCACGCCATTTCCGGTGGAAGGTGCGTTCACCAGAGGGAGCCCATCTAAATCCCCCTGTGCCGCCGACACGGACTGTTGGGGCAAGTGCTGTTAATGGGCACCTATTAAGGCCAGCACGGCACACAAGCGGGTAGTTCGGTCAATACCATACCAGCCGCTGATGTTTAAACACCACACCAGGTACTCATATGAGTCGGCCTAGGGGATTTCCAGGACCAGTTCAGGTAATCATCACTTGTTATTGGTCGTGAGCAGGAATTGAACTGGGGTCGCTGGGTTCATAGCTCAGCACGCTAACCACTACCCTACTGCTTCCCACACAGCTCCATCACCCGCCCTCCCCGCCGGCTACACATCCAGGCAGACAGCGTTCTGTAGAGCAGCGCACTAACCATGACATTACTACTCCCCACACGCACCTCCGATTAAGTGCGGCTGGCTACATACGGTGCGAAAGAAGATCTACATACATGCATACACGAACACACGCATGCACGCACATGGTGGTACACACTTCGCGGCAGTGCCCGCGCTATACCACACGCCGCGCCGTGCCACGTACGCGACTGCAGGCCGCTGACTTTAACTTTGCTCAGGTCCAGTGCCGGCGCCACGGCGACGGTGAAGGGGCTCTTGGGAACGTGGTCCCCGCCATAGGTGACCACCACCGTCATGGAGCCCTGCGGCGACACACCAGGGAGGGGCGACACCGTCACCCTCATGCTCCTCGTCGCTATTGCTTTTGCCCTGATTTCTATTCGCTTTATCGCTGTTTTTTCTTTTACAAAAATGTTGGTGTCCCTGGCCACTCTTGCAAAGGAGGCTCCTATCCTGGTCTCTTGAGTTCTTGAACTTTTGGTATTCGCGCGACCGTTCTTATAGCACATGGCATTCATCACGAAGCAAGGCACAGTCTGCAGTGGTTTTACAGTTGCAATGTGCAATACCAATTGAGTAAGTAAGCTGTAGGTCATTTTTCAAATTTTCCAAAATTGGACAGTGATGCCAGCACACAATGGCCTACACTTTTTGAATGACGTGGGGCGATCTGTAACGTCCACTGTACAAGCAGACGGCGCATATCTTACGATTAATAAACCTGCAGTGTTAACCAGGGAGGCATGTTGGATTTGACTGCGCTAACTTGACTCGATCAGCTCTCATCTCATGTCTGCGACCCAGCGTTTTGGAGGAAAGAGCTGGTGAATCACCTTCTTGGTTCTTTCGGTAAAGTCACGTAGAAGGGAAGTAATAAAATAATAAAAATAAAACATAATAAAATTATTCTCACGACGTTTCGGCCACAACGCAAGCAGCCGTCCTCAGGTGAAAACCAGGTCCGTCGAGGCGACAGAGTCTGAATGAAACAGCACACGAGCTTGGAGCATATATATAAGCTGGGCGCCTTGACAAAGGAATTTGCATATCAAGAGGAATTTAGCATATTTATGGGAAATGCAGGAATGTGATTAGTACTACATTTGCATGTGCATTATGCAGGATTAACAGCATCAAAGGGAGCTGCAGTTGCTGCTGCTGCTGCAGTTGCTGCTGCTGTTGCAGTTGCGGCTGCTGCTGCAGTTGCTGCTGCTGCAGTTACTGCTGCTGCAGTTGCTGCTGCTGCAGTTGCTGCTGCTGCTGCAGTTGCTGCTGCTGCTGCAGTTGCTGCTGCTGCTGCAGTTTCTGCTGCTGCTGCTGCAGTTGCTGCTGCTGCAGTTGCTGCTGCTGCAGTTGCTGCCTTATCCATTTTAATATAACAATATGTATTATTCTACCCACCCTAATGTGTATCACACTGCTATATATTTACTATACAATTACGACACCATACATTACTCTGCACACTGCACCATGCCAGTGAGTGGAACGCGGTCTGAAAGTCACCGTAAACGTGAACACAATCAGTTAAGATTCGAAATGGTTTATTACGTCCTTCCAATGATTGCTAAGCCAGAATCCATATACACATTAGGGTGGGTAGAATAATACATAGTGTTATATTAAAATGGATAAGGCAGCAACTGCAGCAGCAGCAACTGCAGCAGCAGCAACTGCAGCAGCAGCAGCAGCAACTGCAGCAGCAGCAACTACAGTAGCAGTAACTGCAGCAGCAGCAGCAACTGCAGCAGCAGCAGCAACTGCAGCAGCAGCAACTGCAGCAGCAGCAACTGCAGCAGCAGCAACTGCAGCAGCAGCAGCAACTGCAGCTCCTTTTGATGCTGTTAATCCTGCATAATGCACATGCATATGCAGTACTAATCACATTCCTGCATTTTCCATAAATATGCTAAATTCCTCTTGATATGCAAATTCCTTTGTCAAGGCGCCCAGCTTATATATATGCTCCAAGCTCGTGTGCTGTTTCATTCAGACTCTGTCGCCTCGACGGACCTGGCTTTCACCTGAGGACGGCTGCTTGCATTGTGGCCGAAACGTCGTGAGAATAATTTTATTATGTTTTATTTTTATTATTTTATTACTTCCCTTCTACGTGACTTTACCGAAAGAACCAAGAAGATGAATCCCTGCAGTCACGAAAGCTTTAAATCGAAATTTACTGGTGAATCACGTAAATATGTGTGACTCGGTTATCAGGCCAGTGGGTGAGTGATTGAATAAGTGAGTGAGTGGGTGAGTCAGTTAATAAGTGAGTGAGCGAGTGGGTGAACAGGTGAGCATTTCAGCAGGTGGTTGAGTGGACGATAGGATTAGGAGATAGTGCGAGTAGGTTTTGGAGCGGGTGGGTGGGCAAGTGGGTGGGCGAGCGGATGGGTGAGCAATCGGGCGAGGCTGCACCTGCTGCATGGCCGTGTAGCGCACGGTGTAGGTGAAGTCGTGGTTGTCAATGATCTCAAAGTCGCGCACGGCGTCGCCCTTGGTGGAGCTGGTAAAGTGGACCTCGAGTCCGGCCTTGCCGGCACCCTTGGTGAACACCGTGAAGTGGGTTGGCACGCCCACTTCCACGCCTGCCGTCATCATCGTGATTAGTTTTATATACAGCATTATCGTTCACACAAATTGCATCTCTCACAAAAGCCAAGGAGGAATCGCACAGACGAGCGGGAAGGCGGCAGGAGCAGCAAGGGGGTGATGAGCCGGCATGACCAACAATTCCCCGAGCTCTGCTGTTCTCTATATATTAAGATGTTTTCAGCCAATTAATGTATTTATAAATGGTGCGAGGAAACCTGAGAATTTAGAGCAAACCCACCATCATTAAAGTCATTAGCACCATCATCAACACAAACAGCAGTGGCATCATTACAATTATCATCATAATCAACAAGTTGGGTGGTGGCTCGTGGTGATGGTAGGGGGCTCAGGTCAGTAGGGAGGGAGTCCCGTGGCGGCTCGTGGGGATGGTGGAGGGCTCACCTTGTGGCCGGAGTCCCGGGCCCTCGGCCTTGACCTTGTTGGCATCGTGTGATGGGTCGACCTTCACCCGGAACGGGCTGGACGGGATTTCCTGCAGCGTTGGACATCACAGTACCACCATCGACACAGGCTCCATCACCGAGGTCCCATCACTGGGGTGTCATCCCTGGTATCTCATCAATTCACCGAGCCAGGGACCCACGCACGAATGTGAGGAGTGTGTTGAGGCGGGGGATTGCGGTTAGCGTGCTGCGCTATGAAACCAGTGACCTGAATTTGATTCCCGCTCATGGCCACCAACACCAGTGACTATTATCTGAACTGGTCCAGGGCCTCCCCTAAGTCGACTCGGCATTAAATGAGTACAAAGTTGCGGTGTGTTAACATCGCCACTGGGGACACAGGAGCCACCCACTCCCTCTTGCACCGGGGAGATCTTCGTCTGTGTGCACGTGTGCGTGCATATGTGACGACCGTTCGTGCACGTGTGTCTATATGCGCATGGTGCGTGCATGCAAGCGCGCTACCCACCTGCTCAGCGAACAGCACCATGATGGTGTAGCGGCCGGCACCCGGTGGCGAGTACTTGACGGTGAAGGTGTCGTTGTCGTTTTTGATGATGTTAAAGTCAATGTCGGCCTCCGTGGGGCCCACGACCCCTGGGGCGCACTTAATGCCGATGCTCACGTCGCCTGCGTAGGGGGGGGGGCGAGGAGGGGGACCCTTCCGTCAGCACAGCCGCCGGCACAACCGCCGCCGATTGGGGAAATTCCACATTGCTATTGGCGGGGACCAGTTTATCTTTCTCTTGACTTCCCCCTGCAAAGTGGCAGCTGTTTCACAAAGTACTCTCCTGCTGCTCAAATGGGAATAGAGGTGTAGGACTCGTACTCTCGTTGTCTTTCTCGTCTCGTTTATTCACGCGTAGAGTTCACACCTCCTCATCATCGCTCCGTGTCTCTCCGTTCGCTCCGATGCACGACCCGCCATTAACAACAATCTATGTCTCCCCGTTCCTACCGTACACTGTGTTCTCTCTATCCCCTGCTACCGTACACTGTGTTCTCTCTATCCACTGCTACCGTACACTGTGTTCTCTCTATCCACTGCTACCGTACACTGTGTTCTCTCTATCCACTGCTACCGTACACTGTGTTCTCTCTATCCCCTGCTACCGTACACTGTGTTCTCTCTATCCACTGCTACCGTACACTGTGTTCTCTCTATCCCCTGCTACCGTACACTGTGTTCTCTCTATCCACTGCTACCGTACACTGTGTTCTCTCTATCCTTATCGTATCTATTCCTGCTCACTGCTGCTCCATCTCTCTCCCGGGCACCAACCACTCCAGCTCTAATCCCAACCAAGACTCCCGTCTCTCCGTTACGCTGTGCCCTTTATCCCCGCACCAATCAGTCCCAATCAATTATCTCGTCCCCCGCTCCCAGGCCCCCAGCCTCACGTGACCATGTTATTGCCGCCAGGCCGGCGCCAGTCATTAGCCACTCACCCACCTGACCAATCACCGGCCTGCGTCCTCAGTCACCCCTATCACCTGTCGCGTCTCTTAACGACCCCCCCCTTAATGCCACGACAACAACAACCGTGTCCTCAGATGCTCCTACTGTACTCTGCTCGCTTGCCTAGCAACAAAACACGTGGCGCGTGATATTTCAAGTCCTACAGAGGTATTGGTTTACAGCCCTGCAGAGCCAGCCGTGGAAATTCCTCGTTTTAATTTTATTGACCCCGGAGAGATGATGGGCCAAGTCAACCACCAACTGGGGATTGAACTCCGGGCCTTCCGACTGCGGGCCGCTCGCTCTACCGCGAAGCTACCTGAGCGGTCAGATGGAAAGAAAGTAGAGAGTGTGTGAGTGTGGCTTCATCTCTGTATGTATGTAGAACTTGTTTTGCACCGTATGTAGCCAACTGTGCTAATCAGAGGTGTGGGGGAAGGACAACAATGTAAACACAAAAATAAGTTATCAAGAAATTAGTTTTCAATCTAGATGATTTAGAAGTAGCATAGCTCCAGTGGCTTCGTAATATCAGAAAAAACAGCGCTTAAGATGGCCACAGACGCGCATCTGAAAGTGCGCGATGCAGTGACCATCTGTTTTCTATGGCCAGCTTAAAGTCGTTGCGAGAATGACCGGAGTTCGGGTGATGGTATGTATCTCAATCTCCATCTCAGTGTGTGTCCTTTGTATCTCAGTATGTGTGCCTGTCTTTGTCTCTCTGTAATGACTGTCTCCATCTCAGTGTGCGTTTATCTCTCTGTGTGTCTACTATAAGGACGATCGTGGCGCCGTTGTCGCCGAGGCGTCACCTTGGCCGGCTTGGCTGCAGTCGACGGTGAAGTAGGTCGGCTCAGTTGGCCTTGAGGCCGGTTTTCTCCACACCCGGGCCGTACACCTTCACGTTCTCCGGGTGGCTCCCTTCTCCAACATTCACCTGGCCGAAAGGAATCGCGCGGTGCAGACGCCAGGTGAGGCATCTCTTCGAGTCAGCAAATCAAAGTGAACGCTAAAAAGTCCATGTGATTTCTGATCCCCCGTTTACAACCCTGCAGAGCCAATGATGGAAATTCCACATCGCTCTGGCGGTGACAAATATATCCATATGACAACCATTGTTGACTTCCCCACAAATACGTACTAATTTTATTGGCCCTTGAGGGATGATGGGCTGAGTCAACCCCCAACCAGAATTTGAATTCGAAACCTTCAGAAAGTGATCACATTAACGCTGAACCAGTGTGACACGTCTGAGGATGCTTCGGACATCACCAAGCTTCGCCTATCACCTCCCATCCAGCGGCATGTGGGAGCAGAGGTGAGACTCTTTTCCCTGTGTTACCCGATTAGTTGAGCAATTGAATCGATAATCAGGGGCATAATCGATTATATCAATTATACTTCCAAGATTATTTGTGTAACCCAGTTATGAACTTGAACTCTCGAGGCCAGGATAAGTCTCATTTGCAATTGTGGCCTGGGGCATTGGTCTGCTGCCAGTAGGGGGCGATGATTACTGCTGTATAATCCCAAATAGGTATATTGTGGTAATAACCAGGGCAGCCGCTGGATTCGACCCGCGACCCCCTGTAACGAGCAGTGAGGGCGCTGCTACCGTTCAGCCGCGTCACCACTCAGCGGGGTATCCCAGCTGTAGTGCGGTTGTTGTTGTATGTATGTTGAAATTCTTTCCCACCGTATATAGCCAACCATGCTAATCGGAGGTGCAGGGGATTAATAACAAACTAATCACAATGAGTTTTCAATCAAGATTTAAAAGTGTTGCTGCTGCTGCAAGTGTTGGGCGCTCACCCTGAAGGGGCTGAGTGGGATGTTGACGCTGCCCCACGCGATGATGATGGTGTGCTTGATGGCCTTGCGCGGAGTGTAGCAGCAGTGGAACGTTCCATCGTGGTTGTCGCGGACCTCCACATTGATCAGTTCCCCCTCGGCGTTCTACCACACAGCGACCATCAGCATGGAACATTCACTCCACCGTCACTAATGATCAACACCACGACAATTATCAGCAGCTGCTGCATCAACAGAGACAGCATCATCAACATCACCACTACCATAATCATCATCTTCATCAACGCCACACACCGACCGTCACGAGCGACCAGGCTATTCACTGCACCACCACTATCAGGACCACCACCACAATCGTCCTCAGCAGCATCAACTTTGTTTCCTTTATCATCATCATCATCCAAAATAAACTGAACATACTTAACAAAGGAAAAGATCCCCTATACAAAAAAGCACACGAGGGGATTCTGTGGCTAGTACCAAGCCCGTCCGCCTTTGTCTCCCCAGTGCGATGTTTACGCACCTCACCACATACTAATTTAAAGCTGATTCGACATAGGGGAGGCCCAGAACCGGTTCAAATATTCGCCACTATTATTGGTTGTGAGCGGGAATCGAACTCAGGCCACAAGGTTCATAGCGCAGTGCACTAACTGCATGCACACACACACACTCTGAGTTTCCAAAGCTATTGGTGTGTCCACTGACAGGTGTTACCCAGCAAGTGAGGCAGCTAATTAGCATGCTGCTCATTAAGAGTGCTGGTTCAGTAGCGTACATGCTTGTTAGCGAGTTAGATCGCTAGCATGCCGACTCGTTAGGGTGTCAAACCCTGAGCATGCCAGCGCATCAAAATTCCAATTCGTGAGCAAGGTGGCTCATTTGCATGTTGGCTCGATGGAGTGCGGCTTCGTTAAGAGGAACAACTCGTGAGCACGCTGGCACGGCCGCATGGTGTCTAGTTAGCGTGCCGACTTGCTTGCGCACAGACTAATTTGTGTGACGGCTCGTTGACATGCTGCCGTATTAGAATCCTGACACATTATGCCAATGTTTCATTTAGCAACCTGCAGTACCGTCCACAACCCGTGCGCCCGCGCGTCACCTGGGCATAGATCTTGAGCGCCCCTCTCCCCGCGGCGCGAGCGTCCACGGTGAACTCTGCCGGCGCGTCCACCACGCAGCCCGTGTGCGCCAGGCCCGGGCCGTGGGCCTTGACGCGCTCGGGGAAGTGGTCAAGTGGTGCCGGGAGGATGTGGGCGATGAAGGGGCTGCCCTTGATGTCCTCATCGTCGCACACGACGTGCACCGCGTACTCGCCCGGCTCCGTGGGCCAGTAGCAGACGTCGCACGAGCCGTCGCCCTTGTCCTCGCACTCGATCTTCGCCTGCGACGGCCCCTCGATTGAAAAGCCTGGTGCGACGAGGTGGGGGAAGGTGGGGGTTGGGAGGGGAGTGAGGAGAGGGCCGGAAATGGGGAGACGTCAACAATATCATCATCGTCATCGACGTTAGTGTCACCGTCACAGTCAGTGTCACCGTCTATGACACGAATGTCGGTGGCACCGTTAGCATCAACAACATCAATGCCGCCTACATGGGTGTCATGACTAACACCATTATGTATACGTGCGTACGAGCGTGTGTGCGTGACCGCGTCTTTTGTGTGTGCATGCAGCTGTGCATGCGTGTGGCCGTGCATCTGCGCGTCTCACCGAGCGTGCCGACCTCTGTCCCCACGGCCTCCACCACGAAGTTTGCCGATTTCCCGACAACGCCGGTCTCGAGGCCGGGCCCCCAGGCCCGCACCTTCTGTGTGCCGGCCTCCACCTCCACGATCACCTCGAAAGGGCTGGTGCAGCAAAACGTACATCACTAATTTATTCCTGTGCCTTCATTACAAAGAGGCTGAGAGTCTCCCCTTCAACAGCAGAGTTAGGACAAAGCAATCTTGAAGGTAAAAAAAAGTAATGGATTCCGTAACGCTGTCAAACGCAAGCGTTTGTTCTCAGAAATGTCTGATTAGCGAATATAACGTTACCGTGCGAGCCGCACAACGAGATGTCGCACGCGGCGTGACGTATGACCGTTCGACAGTCCGCGTGTCTAGGCCCGATTATTTTTTTATTCATCTGGAAATCGGGAGCACCTACCTGCTGTGCACTAAGTTAACAAACAGGATCGTTTCCTGGAAGGTTGCAAAAAAGTTTTAAAGCCTACCAGTAAATTTTAGAAACAAACTGTATTTGAATAATCAGCGCTCGTTTGAAATGGTAACTCGAGTTGGAACTGCGATCGTCGCTGTGCTGCGCGTGCTTGAGTCCGCGGGGGCGCGCGCATGGTCACCTGCGAGGGATGTTGTGGCCGCCCCAAGTGATAGTGATCGTGTACTTCCCGGGCGCCGCGGGGCAGTACTCGAACTCGAAGACGCCATCGCCGACGTCTGTGCGCTTCACCGCCTCGTCCGTGCCACCTGCGGGAGAGGCGAGGGGAAGTAACGCCCATCGGGTCGTGAACTCTCCACCGTGACCCCCACTCTCTCCTCCGCATGCAGTCTCAATGAGTGGAGGCATGCAGTGGTCATGGTGATGGATGGAGAGAGAGGTATAAAAACCGAACCGGTAGCCGCTATTCACCACCAAGTGGTGGTGGATTCATCACAGCGCTTGTGCCAGGCTAGGTGCACATGGAGGCCGTCACGTGATTTGTGGATGGCTCGCGCTGCTGGCAGGATGTCACGGAACAGACCCGGGTGCCATGAGTTGACTGAGATGACTGGCAGATGCAACACCTGTGCCAAAATCGCTGCATTTTACCTGCCTGTCACCCCGCAAGTTGTTGCGAGAATCGCTCACGCACACACGCACAAGCACATCCTCGGCAGCAAGCAGCTTCATTTTATTTGTCTCGTCGGCAGGGCGCAGCCACTCACGCGGGCCGCGGATGGTGACAATGAGCTCTCCTGTGCCGGCGCCCTTGGTGTGCACGCGGAAGTCGGCGTGTTCCTTGACGCGCACTCCCTTGGGCTGCAGCCCGCGGCCCCACGCGCGGCACGCGCTCGGGTTGCAGGCTGCACACACAAACGAACACAAAAAACATATAAAGATCCACCGTATAGCCTTAACAGACTGTTGGGGCAAGTGCTGTTAGCAAGCACCTATGAAGGCCGGCATGGCACACGAGTGGGTGGGTTGCCAACACCACGCCTGGCCGATTTTGTCTCCCCAGTGATGTTTACACACCACACCAGGTACTTATTTGAGGCTGAGTCGTTATAGGGGAGGCCCAGGACCGGTTCAGATAATTGACACTGGTGTTGGTCGTGAGTGGGACTCGAACTCGGGTTGCCAGGTTTGTAGTGCAACGCGCTAACCGCTTCACTACCGTTAGCGCATGCACACACACAAACACATGATTATAACGATGAGTTGTGTGTCTCATAAAGCTGTCCTCCAGCAGACATTGGCGGCGTCTCGGAGCGAGTGACTTGCATCTAATCTATTCATCTCAATGCATTTGCAAGGACACCCCCCCGCCAGTGGCAGCTGTCCCTGTTGCGGCACAAGGTCACTCTTGCCTGTAAGCCAGATGGCATTAGTGCCAGTAGGGGACGACCATTGCTGCTGTTGTGAAAAAAACAATGCAATAGTTTGGGTGTAATTTTCAGAATTTGGCAAGTTTGGACCGTGATGTCGGCACTTGTTTCGAATGACGTCATGGGATCTTCAACGTCCACTGTGAAGCAGACGGCACGCGGTATTTTCAGTATTAACCAGGGTGGCAGAAGCGTGACCTTATGCAACGAGTGGTGAGCATGCTACCACTGGGCCACATGAGCCTTAACAGACTGTTGGAGTAAATGCTGTTAGCAAGAAGCACCTATGAAGGCTGGCACGCCACATTCATGAGGGAGTGGGTGGCCACCACCACGCCCGGCCGTGGTGGTGACCAGGACCAGTTCAGATAATCATCATCGGTGTTGGCCGTGAGCGGGAATAGAACTCGCTTCGCCGAGTTCTTAGCACAGCGAGCTAACGGCTCCACTACCGCTGGCCACACTCACAAACACACACACACGTGTACACACAAGCACACATGCACGTGAATGTGCACGCTCACCCTGCGAGATGACAACGGTGTAGGGGCTGCGGGGGATGGGCTCCCCGGCGAAGGTGATGTGCACAGCGTGCGGGCCCTCGGTGACGGGCCGGTACGTGCAACGGTACACGCTGTTCCCGCGGTCTTCCAGCGACACCTCCACCGAGTCGGCACGGCCCTGTGGGTCCACGATCACCACGCCCACCTCGCCCACGCCCGCTCCTGCCAAATATAATCAGAATATGTATTTATCCTGGAGGAATCCAATGAGCTATGTAGTTATTTTTGACAGATGTCCAGTAGGGGCAGGTAAGAATGTTACAATACACACGCGGGCGCGCACATACACACGCGCACACACACACACATGGGCGCGCACATACACACATGCACACACACACATACGGGCGCGCACATACACACATGCACACACACGCACACACGCACACATAGACACATAGACACAAATGTGCACTCACACACGTGCTCACACATGTACGCATGTGTGCATACAAATACAAAGATCCCCCATATAGCCTTAACAGACTGTTGGGGCAAGTGCTATTAGCGAGCACTTATGAAGGCCGGCACGGCACACGAGGGGGTGGGTGGTCAACACCACACCCGGCCGCCTTTATCTCCCCAGTGGAGATGTTTACACATCACACCAGTTACTCATTTTAGGCTGAGTTGACCTAGGGGAGGCCTAGGAGCGTTTCAAATAATGGTCACTGGCGTTGGCCGTGAGTGGGAATCGAACTCGGGTTGCCAGGTTCGTAGCGCAGTGCGCTAACCGCTACACTACTGTTAGCGCATGCAATAACAACAACCGCCATTCGCCACTAAGTGGCGGTGACGTCACCACGATGCTTGTGCCAGGCCATGTGCACCTTGAGGCCACGTGAAGTGTCGAACGCCCGCTGGCAGGAGGTCACGGGGCAGACCCTGGTGCCACGGGTCGACTGACCGAGATGACTGGCTGATGCACCACCTGTGCCCCCTACTGAACCAACTTGCTGTGCTTTAGCCACCTGGCGCTCTGCTCGTTGTTGTGAGCGTCGCTCCTCCGCCCTCCGTTGTTGTTGGAGGGCGACTGCTTCCAACTGCCCAGTAGCGTCCTTCACGAGCCTCCTCCACAGAGGCCGATCTAGACACCGCTGGTACCAGTCATCGGCAAGTCCACTCAGCTCCACGTCCTCCTGTACCACATCACTCCATCTCTTCTCTAGCCAGTGCCGCGCCCGTTTAGCCCCCTCGATCCGGCCGAACAAAAACTGTTTAGCATGCGGTGGCTGGGCATGCGGGCTACATGACCCAGCCAACGCAGCCTTGCCTGCTGGAGGAGCTCACCGATGGGACTTTGCCCAGATCTTTCAAGGATTTGTGAGCTCCTCACACAATCCAGCCTGGTTAAACCCAGGATGGACCGTAGGCAGGCCAGCCTAAATGTTTCCAACCGGCGAAGATGCTCCATTAGGGGGGTCCACGTTTCACAAGCGTAGAGAAGGGAGGGAATGACCGTGGCCGAGAAGACCTGAAGCTTCGTGGGGAGCGACAGACCAGGTAGCTTCCACACAGCGTTACGCAACCGATGAAAATATATTGCCGCTCGACTGATTCGGAGTGAGACCTCTGCTGTTAAACTGGAGCCGGTCATAAGCACACTGCCCAGGTATGGAAAACTCTCCACTCTCTCCACTACTGCCCCATGACCGATTGGGAGTTGTGGGGGTGGAGTGTCCGATGGTACAAAATACCCAGGCAGGTGCTTAGTTTTGGTGGGGCTGATGGTAAGGCCCCACCTCTTAGTGGCACGCTCCAGTCTCAGCAGCGTCTCCAACTCCTCTTCTGAATGAGCAGCTATTACCAAACCATCGGCATACATAACGTGGTTGACCAATAGGGAGCCATCCCTTGATCGCACCCGGGCGTCGATCAGCCTCCCATTATATCTGTGATCGTGGGCCACTGAGGCAGACTCCATCTCCTCAGCAACCCGCGACCACCACCCATCCTTGCAGCGCCTTACGGCTCTCCGAACCTCCGAGCGAAGGCTGCGGTAAACCTCCTCATTCTCTGACGTGGGATGCTGTAGCCGATGAGAGTGGGCCTGCTGCTTTTTCTCAACTAACCTGAACACCTCCTCTATCAGCCAGGGTTTCTGGGGAGGTCTGGACCGCGTACCCAAAGCAGCCATTGCAGCTGCATGAGTCACAGTCCTAAACCTCGCCCATTTACCTTCGACATCAGGAGGAGTGGGGGACGATGCCAACCCCAGCTGCAAGCGATGATGAAATTCTCGCTTGCAACTTTCATCAGCTAACTGAGACCAGGCCACTTTAGGTTGGAATGGGGTCCTGGGTGTACACCCACCACCGGAGTGGAAGAATGGCAGGCGCATCTTACAGATGACTAGTCGATGGTCAGAGGGCAGATCAGCTCCACGGTAGGTCCTGGTGTCAAGGACATGGGTTCACATCCGCTGGTCCGTCATTATGTAGTCCAGCAGATGTTCTTGCTTGGACCCGGCATGCATCCATGATGTTGTGTGGATGCGCCGATGCCGGAAGAGCGTGTTGATAATTACAAGCCCATGGGCTGCATAAAAATCTAGCAGCCTCCTACCGTTGTTATTGAGCTGGTCTGGCCCATGCCTTCCAATCACTCTAGACCAGTTGCCAGCATCATGACCAACTCGGGCATTGAAGTCACCCAACAAGATGACTCTGTCCCGAGTGGCCACTTTAGCCAGTACCTGTGACAGGAGGTCTTAGAAGGCATCTGATTCATCGGCTTTGCCTGCATCCCTCCACGGATGTTCGTCTTCGGTGGGGGCATAAGTAACCACGACCACCACTCCTCGCCTCCGTTTGATGGGAAGGCGAGCCCAAAGTATCCTGGGGCTTACAGCTTCCCACACCTCACCGCCACGCTCCCACGCCCCCTTCATTCTTTTGTTCAAAAGAAGAGCCACACCCTGTTGTTTGGCAGTCTCCTGCCCCGAGTAGAGGACTGTCCACCCCTCATGGTGGCAGGAGCCAGAACCGGTCCACCGGACCTCCTGAATGCCACAGAGATCCAGGCGGTACCGGTCCAGCTCCCGACAAAGGAATGGCAGCCTCTCCTCCGCAGTGAGCGTTCGAACATTCTACGTGGCCATCCGTAGTGGCTTTTCGTTGTTTCTGAAGGAGCCCCGAGGGTGAAAATTTCAATCTCCTGGCTCCGCCAATTGGGGTTTGGGAAGGAGACGTCATAGACGCCTGTTACCCCGGGGCCTCCGGCACAAGCTTTTTTTGTTACAGATTTATGTTTCATTCGTAGTTTCGTGGTAATAAATTGAGGGTGGAGGGGTTATCAGCCCCTCGCACCCGTCCAGAGCCCCCGTTTAGCCACTGTGGTGGTCACATACGCCATGAGGGGAGAGGCCAATGAGGCATTGGCCCTCCCCCCACAGCACTGTCCACGACAGTGTTGCCGTCCGGCACCGCAAGGAAGTAGGAGGTTGTTTTGCGCATGCACACACAGACGCACACACATGCAAAGACAAACATTTCTCGTGTAGTCATGAAGCCAGGGCTGCTAGCAAATGTTTTTTAAGGGCCGTGCCAGATTTGTGATGGTGGTGGCAGTATGATGATGATGGTGGTATTGGAGTTTGGTGATGTTCGCGATGGTGCTGGTGGTGTCTGTGGTCATGGTATTAGTGGTGATGGTATTAGTGGTGATGGAGGTGGCTTTGGTGGCGGTGTTCGTGATGGTTGTTGGTAGCGCTGTTGATAACGGTGTGCAGTTGGCCGCGTCGGTGGTATTGGTGAAACAGGCGGGCGGAAGTAGTGTTCGGCATCGCCGTAGTTTTACCCGCGGTGTAGATCTCAAAGTAGGTGGGCTTATGGGCCACGTTCCCGCTCGGCTCCAGGCCGGGTCCCCGTGCTGTCACCTTGCTGGCGTCGCCCACGGCGACCGTCGCCACGTCGACCTGGAACACGCTGCCGGGGATGTGCTGTCCGGCGAACAGCACAGTCACCTAGAAAACGCGCAACACACACACCCATCAGCTTTCAGGATTCCTGGAGATCGACCAATCCAGGAAAGACCACAGGGTTGGTGGTGGCCGGTGACCTGGGCCCGTGGTACTGGGTCCCACGGGAGATCTCCATCGCCAATGACGCTGCACGCAACGGTCAACGTCAAAGCGACGTCCGACCTCGAGTGAACATTCAGGGCAACTGGTGCTCACCTCCAGTTTACAAGCCCTGAGGTGCTGGTGGATAATTCCACATTCCCTGTGGCTGGGGATTGAGTCTATCCAGACGACAACTACATTTGACTTATCCCCACACACCGGTGCTCGTTTTATTGACTCAGAGGATGATGGGCCGAGTGAACCAGCGTGTGCTTGTAACCTGGTTGCAGTGACTATACAGTACCTTTATACAGCAGTGTACTGTAGAGAGAAAATCACAAACCCCAACTAAATTCAACATGTTCCGTGTCAATAACCACAGCGTGGCCTTAAGAGGAAAAGAATAAAACAGGTGATATTTTGGACAACGGCCCTTATTCGTATGCTACGACAGGACCATTTTGCCCGAAACGTCGCGTATCACACAAAGCGTTCCCTTATAAAGGCGGTATTACAGGGTGATCCATTTATAGAAACCCCCCCCCCCCCCCATTTTCAACATGATGTCATAGCCGACAGGCCTCGTGTCTTAGCAGAGGGGGAGATGCGAGTTAGTGTACAGTCAAATAGAGAGAGTTTAGAGGGAAAAGTAGTTCCGGTTATTTTTATGTTTCGGGGCCGTCGGTAATTGAATCCTCCGCGAAGGGCCCTCGTGGGCCATCTGTAAATGGGTCGCCCGCGACGGGGCCCCCTTTTGGGGGGAACTCTCACCTTGTGCAGGCCGGCCACCTTGGGGTGGTACACGACGGAGAAGGTGCGCCTCTTGTCGTTGTTGGGCGTCACCTTGGCCTAGCGGACGCGCAAACAGACGGCAAAGTGAGGTGGGGGGTGGGGACACTGACGACCGTGACCCCAGCGGCCACCGAAACCCCCTGGGCGCCAGAGTTACAGACGAACAGGCCCGGCGCCCAGGGTATTTACACGCAGAGCACCGACCGCGGCGTTGTTTTACGAAGTTTACGATTATAACATTGCAAATGCCAGGCGCGCCGTATTGCGGCCGCCACTCACGACGGGCGTTAAGATCCCGTGAGGGCCCAACCGCGAGTCGCCGGCGTCAGGGTCCGGACCAACACGAAGATGCCCGCCCCCTCCCCGTGTGGCCTTGAGGCCGTTTGGGGGGCAAGGGATGTCGGCGAGCAACACCTATGAAGGTCGGCACGGTACACGAGGGGGGGGGCGGTGAGTGGCCAGCACCACGGCCGACCGTCTTTGTCTCACCAGTGGCGATGTTTACACACTGCAGCAGGTTACTCGTTTGAGGCTGAGTCGAACTAGGGAAGACCCAGGACCGGTTCCGACAATCGCTTTCACTGATGTTGGTCGTGAGCGGGAATCGAACTCGGGACGCCAGCTCACCGCTACACCGCCGCTCCCCTCCACTTTGCAAGACGAACAGCAGCAAGCATTGCCCCCTACTGGCAGCAGACGAGTGCCCCAAGGTTTCGCTCTTCCAAAGCAAGACTCCCTATCCACGTCTCTTGAGTTCTCTCTCTCCTGGCCACACAACCTCACCCTCGACTCTCGTGCGGCCCTCTATAATCTATTGAGACGGAGAACAAAATATGTATCGGTTCAGGTGGCGAAACGTTAAGCCGCCCAATGTATTTGCATGGCCACTGAGAGTGAATGACTTGATAACCCCGGCTCGCTACAAACGGCGAACCCTTAATTCACCGTAATTTATATGGGATTCTGCACCGCACTAGCCGTGAGGCATCTGCTCTGGGCGGGCGCACTACGGGCGGTGTAGAAATATTAACGATGCCCTTTTTGCTTATATTTGTCTTCAGACACGGTTTGTTGAGCACAGGGCTCAAAGGCCGAAAACATCAAGCGGACAGCAACACACAGCACCATTAGCAAACGCGTAACAGACGAGAAGAGTGTGCAACGCGATCCTTGAACTGAGCAAGGCGATTGTTATTGCTCAGACGACGAGAGGGAATTCCACAGTGGAAGGCAGTGCGACGGAGAAAGACACCATCACGTGACAACACGACTTGTCATCGTCAGTCTGGTGGCGCGGGGGGGCTGTGGGGGGGGGGGCATGGGAGGCTGTAGGAGTGAGTGCGGCCCCTCACCTCCTCGGTGTGCCCCTCGGGGTCCTCCACGTACACCAGCACCTCGCCCACACCTGCGTTGAGCGTCTCCACGGTGAACTTCGCGGGGCGCGTCACCTCGTTACCCGAGCGCTCGATACCTGCCCGCCGGTCACATTGTCACTGCCGTCGTTATCCGCGCCTTCGCCCGATGTCATCGCCATCATCTTTCTTTTCGTCCACATCATCATTGCCGATGTCCTCGTCATTGCTATCAGTATCGTCACCATCGTCATCATTGCCAGCATCACTAACCGATATCATCGTTCCCATTACCACTATCGTCACCGCATCATTGAAATATTCACCATTGCCACCGTAATCGTCATTATTATTGTCAAATCACTCATTATCGTTGCCACTTTGTCATCACCATCATCATAACCATTACTTATCCCGATGAATCATCACCATTACGATCATCATTACCATCATCATCACAACCATCATTATTGTCATTCTCATCAGCATCATCAATGACCACTTTCATCAGTGTCATCTTCTCTATCACCATTACCACTATACTCGTTACTCAGTCATCTGCAGCATCGTCACGACGCGGTGCGGTGAGTGTGTGTAGCAGCAGCACACCTGGCCCGAAGGCCTTCACGCTGTTGGGGTCGATCTTGGGCCGGAGGGGGGTCCCCGGCTTCAGCTTGGCCTTGGGGAACTGCGACAGGTAGGTCATCACCGAGTGCTCGTCCACATTGGGGTCGACGATCTCCTCCGGGGCGATTACCTGGGTGGGGGGCAGATCGAGGTGAAGGGCATGTGGAGGTCACCCAAGCATTTATGGTGCTACAGGCAATTATTATTAGTATGTGCTTGCGTGTGTGTTTCACTGAGTCCCATTACTGTTTTTCAGGAGGGTGCTGCCAAGTTTTTGTAATCGAGTGGCGAGAATTGCTGCTGCTTCGTGTGATCCAAATTTAGTGATTTTAACGTAATTTTAAAATATGCCAAATAATATGGATCGCGACGCCGCCACACACCGGCCTACTCGTTTCGAATGACGATGGCGCGAATTTTATAGTGAACACAGCATTAAAAACCAGGGAGGCCTACTAGATTGGAGCCACAAACCTCTGCAACAAGCTGGGCTATTTCACCACCCAAAAACACATTGGATGGTTAGACTGACTCATTGACTGATCCACTGACCGACTGGCTGACAAACTGACTGACTTACTGACTCACTGACTAACAAATTGACCCACTCACTCACTGACTCACCGACTGATTGACTAACTGACCGTCTCACTGACTCGCCTGTTACCGAAAACAAGAGTGGCTCAGCGCTGCTGGGTCTGCGCATATCGAGCGAGCAGTCCAGCGGCTACCACAGTTGCGAGATGTTAACTACCTCGCCTGATGTATAGGAGATCGTCGGTTCGATACCAACCCCGTACCCTGTAAATTTGAAGTTTGCATGTTCTCCCCTGGTTGCGTGGATTGCTTTCCGGGTTCTCTGGGTTTCCCCTCCACATTTAGAATCAACGTGCGTTTTAAAGTATTTGGCTGCTATACATTTCCACGTGAATAGCCAGTTCGTTGAGCTGTGATTTTTGACCAGGTCGCTTCTGAAAAAGAGCTGTATAGCTCAGTGGGCCTTACCTGGTAAAATAAAAAAAAATTAGTTTGGTCGCCAGGTGAACTCACCTGTGGGACGCCGAGCCAGTCATCCGCCTGCTGCATGGCCTCCCGAGCATTGTCCACTGGCTTGTTGGGGTCCCAGGACTGCCAGTCGGGGCACAGGCCTTCACACCCGAGATCACACACAAAGACAAAGATCCCCCGTGTAGCCTCAACAGATTGTTGGTGTAAATTCTGTCAGCGAGTGGCACCTATAAAGACCGTAGACCGTTAAGGCCAACATCCCGCTTGGCTGTATGTATGCTGAACTTCTTTTGCACCGTACGTAGCCAACCTTGCTAATCGGAGGTGTGGGGGAAGGACAAACTCCTCCGTGGTGATGTTTGCACATCAGACCAGGTACTCAGTTTTAAGCTGAGTCGGGGGAGGACCGTGATCATATAATTTTGCCACTGTTTTTGGTCATGAGCTGGAATAGAACTAGGGCCGCCAGGTTCATAGCGCACTGTGCTAACCACTGCACGCCACCGTTCTCCACGCAACTATCATCACTACTGCGGCACTATGGTTGGTGGTTGCGATGGTAGTTGTGGTGGTTTTGATGGTGGTGCGGCACTCACCGGGAGCGCAGTTGTCCACCAGTGCCCCCAGGGCCTTGCCGTCTTGCCAGTCGCGATGGAAGTTGGTGATGGGAATTTGCGGGACCTTGTTCTGGATCCAGCCCAGCAGGCGCTGCTTTGGCGTCTGCTTCTTCATCTCCTCCTCGTCCTCGTCATCCCACATGGGCATGGAGATGGAGTAGTGCAGGATCAGTGTCCAAACAAGGCCCAGGATCAGCTTCAGGTTCCCATCCACGATGGCTTTGCTGTCTGTGGGGGGGCACCAGAGGGAAGAGGGGGACCCAAGGGAGATGAGGCTTTAGTTCGGCGAACAGTGCGAATGAAGTTCAACATATACTTTAAGCGCGAGCGCACGCGTATACTGCTTGTGTATTACAAGGATAAATTAGGGCCCGTGGGTATGATCACTGCTCTTGTGAATGTTGATATCATGATATATCTGATGATGATGATGGCGCTGTCATTTACACTTCACCATCTATTCATCACGCATCACGTGCACATTCATTATCAGTCATCAATATCACTAATATAATATCGTCAAGTATGATACTAATGTACTAATTGGTTATTATAATTACCACGATCAATTATACTGTTCAACAACAAAAAAACTTTTTTTTCTGGCCTGGAATTTTGCAGCTGTTTTAGACTAATTTCAGGGTGCTGATTCCAAATCTGATCTCAGACTTGTTCTATCACATCTCATTTTTATGCTATCGGCATACCCCATTTTCATTGATTTTACCCGAAATTAACTCTGTCACTTATGATTGCAAGTTGTTGCGAGTCAGTGACTGCTTTAGTGTTAAAATATGGTGCTGTATTTTTAGGATAGTGTGTTTATAATATAATTTTATGTAGATATCCACATTTATTTAATATTTTTATTCTGCAGTCTTTATTGAAAATGCAATATTTGATATCTCAAAAACCTGATGTGATAGACAAAAACTGATGCCAGATTTGGAATCAGCACCCCAAAATTACATTGAAACCGTTGGAATACCTTATGCCAGAAAAAGTGTGTTGACCAGTGTATTCGCCATCATCAATAATATAGCCCACAACGCAACCATCACCATCGTTAATGATGACAATGATAATTAACATCATCATAAATAATACAACCATCATTAATAACATCACCATCATATTAATCCTCCCCATCTATTTCAGGAATACATTTCGAAACATCAGAACGCTGTCTGCCTGAATGTATAGACGTCAGGGAGGGTGGGTGATGGAGGTGTGTGGGGAGTGGTAGTGTAGCAGTTAGCGCACTGCGCTATCCACTCGGTCTATGTGAGTGTGTGGGTCTTTATACGAGTCTATGGATATCTGTACACGTCACGAGTGACACAGGGCTGAGACCATCAACTCCCTACACTTGAGAACCCGGTGTCATCGCTGTGGTTGGGCGGATTTGAACCCACGGTCTCAACGGCGCCGGCTCGGCGTCTCAGTGACTCCCCCCACCCCCAAGACAGTCGCCCACCTCTCCCCAAACGATTATTATGAACAGTCCGAGCATGTGGGACCCTAGGCTCTCCCGACACCCAGCCCTGCACGGGGAGAGAAGTTGAGGTGCGGGAGGGGGGGTGTGGGAAGGAGGTGGCGGGTCGTGGTGACAGCTGGGCCAAGACGAGGTTAAGTCACGTGGCCATATTAGGAAGGCAAAACCTGGCACGGAATCTCGGCCGCACAAATGACAAGGGACCGTTTTATATATATATTTATACAAGTAATTTAAGAAATCCTTTGCTATAATTGGTATTGGCCGTGGCTGGCATGACCTCACGGGGTATTCGGGGGTTGTGGGGAGGCGGAGACGGGGGAATAGGAGGGAGATTGAGTTACTGAGGCCGCAGCAGGACTCGGAGGGCCTCCCGTCACGTCGACGACGACGTTCGTCTATCGTACGGGCAGAGCGGCAGCGCCGCGGTTTGGCGCGCCGCTCCTCGACGGAACCGGCGACTCGAGTTCGACTCGCAGCCACGGCCGACACATCAGTGGGAACCGATCCCTCACGACCAATGAGTTGTGAAATCTCTGCTTGACTGGAGACGGAGCCTCCTGCACCGGCATTGCGGACGCTCTATTCAATGGACGACGGTCCTATTCACAGCTCAGTGTGCCGTGTATCCGACCGTCACGTATCCACCCAAACCAATTAACCGCCCACACCCAGTGCAGTATTTTGCATGGTGCAACTGCCCTCTTCTGTAGACGACCACAAATCCGACCTCACATCGGCCCATTACCCGAGTCTCCAGCAAGTGGGACGTGCGACGTGAGGTGCACCATATTGATGTCAAAGGGTCCTTCAAGCTCAACCTGCTCTGATTCTAGAGCTGGGAAATTGCGAAGTCGAGTTAATAAAAAGGGAAAAGGCTATACCTACACTGTATAGGTTAACATCCCGTTATCCACAAGTTAGTCTATGCGCATTTTGTTTAAGCTATATTAGTCTATTAACATTGTTTTTTTTCTGTCATTCGTTTTACAAACAAATAGGAAAGAGCTATTTCCCCCGGCTGCGCGTCCATATGTGTCCCATTGGCGTGCGACGTCCGAATGCAAGGAAGTGCAGAAGGGTCGAGGGAATAGCCACAGCCCGTTCAGGACATCCTCAACACGTCTTACCGAGCCACAGCCCGTTCAGGACATCCTCACCAAGTCTTACCGAGCCACAGCGCATAAATAAACCATGTCGCACCACTCAAACACTCACATTAATCATATTAATATATTATGCCACGTGTTATCCAGGGAATGCTCATCGAGTTACATTACTCTTGCAGGAGGATCCTGTGAGGTTTTCGTATTGGGAGTCAGTGATAATTGCTGCTGCTCTGTGTGGTCTCAATTGAGTAATTCGCAGTGGAATTTTTCAAAGCTGTGCCGATTTAAACCACGAGAGCCAGGGTCAAAAGAGAACTGTGCAGTTATAACGTCCTATATGTACCACCAACCGCAAGAGAATATCGACAGATCGATGCACAATATAAGTCGTGATAGAGACTCACAGAGATATACACGAAGACAAGCCGCAGTCGTGCGATTGTGCCCATGCAACCAAAACTATGGACCGTAAAAGAAATCGCTGTGGTCTGCGCTCCTCCAAAAAAGGAGGAACAACAAAACGAAACTCTCTAATGAAGCCCTCTCGTCGTGGCCAGCAGACCTCGACATTGGCATCGAGCTCCTGGACACATTGGTGCAGTCTTGCGCGAGAGAAGAATGAAACTTCCTATAAATATCAGTTGCGTTGATATTATCTGCCACCAGGAACTCAATTGCCCAACGCTGCTTCCCCACAGCAATAGGAAACGCAGTTGTCTTACTGTCATAATGTAACTACCCAGACTGCTTTTCGAGGCTGTATTGAGACTTTAAGAGTCGCCATCAAATTTACACGCGTTAAGCGACGGCCTGTCTGTCGTTCTCTTGCGATTATCCACGGTAAAACGTCAGTCGAGCTCGGTTATCCGATTATCCTGTAAACACGCAACGTTGAGCCAACGTTGGCCCACTGTTGCGTGTTTACTGGGCACTAATGTAATCGATCACTCTACCGATTATAGGTTCGATTACTTGACTAATCAGATCGGGTAAGACGAAAATACATTGAAGTATCACGCGTGACGCTGGACGGTAACTGATAGATTAATCGTGAACCTCCTGCTAAGTCACGTGGGTGTTGATGAATTAATTACGCGGCACGCCGGCACGTGTTGCCGATCACGTGGTACAACAGCAGATGAAACGGCGGCGGTGACGACGCCGCTGCTGCACGTGGCTTGGCTGTGATCATCCAGCGCTGTGGAGGCAGCAGTGAGGGTTGGTGGTTCACCACACTGATTTTATTGTGAAACTCCCAACCTGTGCGCGTGGAGGAGGGGCTATGTCCTGGCTCGCCACGAGAAGGCGGTCCAGCAAGTGGGCGAATCGCCATCTGTTTCCGTCTGTACGGGGATGGAGCGTTGCCCCCTCGCACACGGCGTGGGGTTTCTCCGGGTGTTCCGGCTTCCTCCACACGTCTACAATAATATACACGACTTATCATTAATCAGCTGAAAACATCTTACAGATACAAATCTAATGCGGAAGGGACCCTCCTGAAAAAGTCCCACGACTCAGTAGCGTGGCTCCCCTGGATAAATAATTAAATAAAATTAGATGAAATACCCAAACTCGCCACGCTCCCCATTAGCACTGCCTCACACATCAGTGAGTGGTGCAAACGGTCCACGTTTCAGGCAATGGCCCTTCCTCAGAGAAGAGGACACATACTTGTATTAATGGTGATGATAATTATATGAGTGGTGTGGGCATGACTGTGTTGGAGATTGGTCCACACACACGGACAAATATCCCCCATATAGCTTTAACAGACTGTTGGGGCAAGCACCTATGAAGGCCGGAACGGCACACGAGGGGGTGGGTAGCCAGCACCACGCCCGGTCGCCTTTGTCTCCCCAGTTGCGATGTTTGGTGCGATGTTCACACATCGTACCAGTACTAGGGGAGGCCCAGGCCTGATTCAGATAATCGTCACTGGTGTTGGCCGTGAGCGGGAATCGAACTCGGGTGACCATATTCGTAGGGCAGACCTCTAACCGTTGCACTATCTCACATACACCTCATAAACACACACCTTCGCTCGCAAAGACCTCTCGCACACCCGTCACACCCCCTGCGTAGCCTTCACATACTGTTGGGGTGAGTCTCAATAAATATGCAACGTTGGGCCAACGTTGGTATATGGTTGGCGGAACGTTGGACCAACGTTGGGCTATGTTTACTGCTTCGATGTTAGCAAGCACCTATTCGGACCATCGTGGCTCTGGCCCAACACACACGCGCACACCCAGCGAGCAAAACACGTGCGCATTCTCACACACGCACGCACCCGCAATCCAGCGCCCAGTCATTTTATCAGCTGTTATCCCGCGCGCGCGCGCGTGTCTGTCGGGGGCTGAGATGCATGTGGAGGGGTGGGGGCCACTCAGCTGTCACGCACAGACACAAGAACAAAAAATACAAAGATGCCCCGTATAGCCTGTAACAGACTGTTGGGACAAATGCTGTTAGCGAGCACCTATGAAATCCGGCACAGCTCACGATGGGGTGGGTGGCCAAAACCACGCCCGGCCGCCTTTGACTCCCTCGTGGCGATGTTTACACACCGCACGAGGTACTCGTTTGAGTCTGAGTCGACCTAGGGGAGCCCCAGGACCGGTTCAAATAATCGTCACTGGTGTTGGCTGTGAGCTGGAATCGAACCTGGGCCGCCAGGTTCGCGCCCACACAAAGACAGACAGACACGCACACACACACATTCCTGCCGAGACTCACCCCAATCTCGAAGTCAGCTACCCCCTCTGCCCTCTCCTCCCAGCCCCACTGTCGCTCATCATCTCACGCCGCCTTTAACACACACGACCACCATTCCCAGAGGAAGCGGTCTGGCAATGGCTCAGTAACGGGTTCATCATCATCATCGTCGTCGTCGTCGTCAGTATTAACATCATCATTACCATCATTGGCGCACGTGGCCTCTGCCGTCTAAGTGATCGGTGAAGGAACTTCGCGCACGTGGTTGGCACGCGGGGTTGAAGCGACTCGAGGAGGCGACCCTCGTGTGGAGTCGATCGCGTCGTGGCCACAAGAGGACAAACATATAGTAGGCGACGTTTCGGGAAAGGGTCCTTCTGTACATTTCGAGGCTAAACCAACACTGCCCCAGGAGGAAAGCAGTGACTGTCTTCTTCTAGAGGCGGCATTGTTGGCGGACGTGCTGAGTAGTCGTTGTTGTTGTGCTCGTGCACCACGAGTCACGTGTGTGTGTGTCTTGCCGAGCACGGAGTGCAGCGATCGTATGGCGGCATAAACTTCGACTCTGAGAAAGAAAGACGCGATAAGACTTGCGTGGGGTTGGAGGTTGTGTGTGGCGGCGTCGAATGGAGATGATTGGTCGGGGGTGGCGAGAACGAGACAAGAGGACCTTCTAGACCAGGATAAGGAAGCGAGAAGACCCATTAGAACGATCCAAAAGAGGCGATATATGGAGGCTGGGAACGTGCTCAGAGGACTGAGCTTCACGAAGAATGTTCCAGAGAGAAATGTTGCTGTGTGTGATAGAGCTGATGATTATGCCGTGCCTGTGTTTGATGTTGCTGTGTGTGATGATTTTGATGTTGCTGTGTGCTATGATGCTTCGTGTCACGATGATGATGATCCAGAACAAGTAATATTTAAAACTACTTTTTTTAAACACGCTTTAATGAAATGTACCGTACTAGTAATGGAAGAACTGCACGACTCCAGGAAGTGGCCCCCAATCTTGTCATAACGTCAGGGACCGTGGTGGTTTACAGCCAACGTCAGTTGAGCGTGGACTATTAGACCCAAGCCGAAACATAACATATACAAAGATTGTTTAAACATTTTTTTTAGAGAATATAGTATTGTTATCAGTATGACACAAGTATAACAAGTTTGCAGTCGATGCCACATTGGGAAGTGGGTTAAAATTGAGTTACAAGATTTGAGGATAAAACAACAACAGACAGTGAGTTAACAAAAAGCGTGTAACAAAAATTGTTTAAACATTTTTGTTTTTTTTTATATAATATGGTATTGTCATCAGTATGACATAAGTATACCAAGTTTGTAATCGATACCACATTGGGAAGTGGGTTAAAATTGAGTTACAAGATTTGAGGATACAACAACAGAGTGAGTTCATAGAAAGCGTGTAATAAAAAGGCAAGAGACGTGGACTGGGCACATGCTCAGAGATAGGAGCGGGAGCTCGATGAAGGGAGTCCTGTGAGTGTTCGGGATGCTGGGAAGGAGGCCAAGAGCAATTAAAACAAATATGCTGCTTGACGACTTGAAGGAAGGATGGGGGATGGGGAGGTCCAGTGACATAAAGGAGAAAGCTCCAGATTGGACAGTATGGATGGGGCTTGAGCCATGGTCGTGGCCGGCCAACAGAAGATGACCCAACCACGCGCGCGATGTGGCGCTTTGGCAGCAGGAGTGAGTGGATAGAGCAGAGATTTGTGAATTTCACAAAACCTCGCCGGGCTGCCAGGATGCCAGCAGATGGTAGGACGTGACGTGGGTATATGAACCCGTCTGTGCGGAGTTTTTAACGTTATCCCAACGTACGCGTGGGGTTTCTGTCGTGACCCCCAGCCTCCTCCCCACACGAGGCAAAGCATTCTTACAAAAAACATATTTTGGCCATTGAAGCTTTCTTGGATAAATTACCGGCATCGTCATTATGACGACCACTCATGTTGGAGCGGTGGTGAAGTCGCCTCGAGCGCACGAGCCGCATGGATTGTCGCATCGCAGGACCGCGAGAAAAGGCCGACGGCTTGGAGAGTTAATTCATCCAGCAGTTGATAGATCATGGCTGCTGATGATGGTGGTGGTGAATAGTTTCGTAGAATGTCGGGCCGGGATGTCGCTTCTTACAAAAATAAACGACTACCATTTCCGGCCTTAATAAACTAAACTCAATTAGTTTTTTAAATTAAATTTACCAGGTAAGGCCCACTGAGCGAGATATTGTAGCTCTTTTTTAGAAGCGATCTGGCCACGAATTATAGCTCAATAAAGTGGTTTACCATCACGTGGAAGTTGATAGCAGCATGTTTTTAAATGTGGAGGGAAAACCCAGAGGACCCGGAGAGATATCCACGCGACCATGGGGAGAGAGACACGCAAAATCCAAATATATCCCTGCAGTCTACACACTGCATGTGGGATCTTTGCTTCTTGTATGTATGTATGTTGAACTTCTTTCGCACCGTACGTAGCCAACCGTGGTAATCGGATGTACGGAGGAAGTGCATATATATATATACTGTTGTGTATATATGCACACACACGAAGGATTAGAATCATCAAGAAGGTTTGGCGACCCGGAAAGAGAGTTCCGCACCCGGCACACCACATCCAATAGACCTTACGACTATGGCTGTGGTCACTACTAGTCACGTGCCACCTACTGCAGTCTCACAGCGACCCCTGCCCCGGACCTGAGCTAGCATCGCGACTGGGCCCACAGCTCACAGAACTCGTGGAAATCCTCTCGCAAACAATCTCTGTCCGCTTAACTTCAAGCCTGGCCCGTCTAGATCAGCGACCAGATAAAAATGTTTCGTCTCAGCCTGCGCTCAGGGCCGGTTTAAAAATGTGTAGGCCGCCTAGGCTACAGGTACTGTGAGGCCCCCAGTAATATTTTCAAAAGGAAAAAAAAGTTAAAGAAAAATATAATAATTTTTTACAAGGCTAACAACATAAAAGTCAGCATTTACAAATGAAATATCTTTTTACTGAATCTCTGGAGGCCTTCCAGCTGGCGGAGGCCCCTGGGCTGCAGCCCCTAAAGCCCCCACGCCTGAATCCGGTCTTGCCTGCGCTCAACATCCAGTATCGGTCTCGCGATGACTTGTAGTCTCGAGCTACGCGAGCCACCTGCTCCAGTCCACTACCAGCGAGCTGGATCATATTGAGTTTAAGCCCTGGAGGGACCCAGGGCGGGATTAATTTACAGGCGGGTGGGGGAGGGGGGGGGGGGCAAACTGTTATATATTTGGGGGGCACTTTGCATGTCCAATCCCTTGCTTGAATAGTTTCACCACCGCCCGTGCCCCCGAGTGATGCCAGTCACCCCGCTCCTACTCATCACAGCCATGTGAGTGCTGGCGTTTAAACGTGGTGCACGAATGTATGTACTGTATGTATGTTGAACTTCTTTCGCACCGTACATAGCCAACCGTGATAATCGGAGGTAGGGGGGGAAGGACAACAGACAAAATATAAAATACGTTTTTAAAGCACTTCCTAAGTAAACGCGAAATAAGCTACGGTCATGTTAAATTGGGCACGCCGCTGGTAGCGACACTCCGCGTGGCTCAAGCATCGCTGCCGTTAACCTGCTCCGCAGCTCGGCCGAAACGCGAGCGGCTCGCCAGAGGATGACTCCGCCCCCCACCCCCCATCATCCTTCCAGGGGGGATAAAATAAGAAAGTCAACAGCGGTTGTCCTATGTATGGATGAACCCGCCACGTGAACGTGTGGCATTTAATCACACACATTACCCATACAGCGTGTATTGCAGTGGCCGTATCTACATTTCATGGGGTCCTTCAAACTCTAAAGAGGCCCCAGGCTGCACCACCCGAAGCCCCTGAGTGAATTCGGTCTTGCCTCCCGCGTGTCCAGCGCTGTGTCCAGCTGCCTCCCGAGCCACTCACCTATGGACACCAGCTTGATGTGCTCCCGCTCCAGAAACTCCAGGGCCACGGACACGTTCTCGAGCTTCATTTGTCTGAAGTTTGGCCTCGAGTGGTACTTGCGGTACATCCTCTTCTGACTCAGCACCTCCAGCAGCGAGATGAGCCTGAGGCCGTCCGCCAGATCCTTCTGCAGGTCGGTCACCGTCTTGTTGGCGCACTTGAGGTGCTCGTTGCACCAGCGGGTGAACGTGTTCTGCTGAATCTTCTTCCATGGCGCGTCCTCGGCAAGCTCCTTCTCGCCAGCCGGGATCTCGTCCTCTGCCTGCACCTCCTGGCCGCGGAGCTCCTCCTCGGGGGAGCCGTTCATGCGATCTCCGCGCGAATGCGCAACATAGTGCGGTTCTAGATCCATCTCGAGAGCGCGGTTCTTCTTCTACTGCTGCTGATGATGCCGATTACACCCTCGCCTGCCTTTGGTAACAAAGCTGTAACACGACGACTTGTTTGGTGGGTCGAGGGTTAAACGTCTGTCTTGTTTAAAAACTTCTTGCGGGAAGAGGCCTCTGGCGTCTGCCGAGAGCTGAGCGCCACGCGAAGTGCGCAAAAGGCGCAGGGGGAGAAGAGGTGGGCCAACAGCTCGGCCACTCCTCGCCGCCTCCCTTATCTGCTCGTCTAAAAATAACTCGCGAGGAGATCCGGCAAAATCTGCAGGCGTTCGTGGATCCGCAGCCGATTTCGTCGAGTCTTCTCGCAAACGCGGGGTGAGACGAAGAGAGGAGAGAGAGACGCGTGATTCGTTCACAGCGATCGGAGTGCTGCCTGGTCGCGTTTATCGTTCTCGATCGAAGTTCCTCTTGCGCGTCCGCTGATGCTGCCGCTGCTGCTGCTGCTTCTGTGTTGCTTCCAGCTGCCGCTCGTTCCCTTATAAAGGGTCGAGGGGCGAAGGGGTCTCGTCACTCCTAATTAAAGGCGGCTCGCTCAGTGTCCGCGCCGCTCCCGGTGCACCGGGAGAGCGATGCGCTATTTTTGGTCTTCACTTCGCACACATTGGGCCACAAATACGCGCACACTCACTCACAGACACACACACAATAACACACACACACAATAACACACACACACAATAATACACACACAATAACACACAGAAGCAGACGCATACACACAATAACACAACAACAAGAACAACCGCCATTCGCCACTAAGTGGCGGTGACGTCACCACGATGCTTGTGCCAGGCCAAGTGCACCTTGAGGCCACGTGAAGTGTCGAATGCCCGTTGGCAGGAGGTCACGGGGCAGACCCAGGTGCCACGGGTCGACTGACCGAGATGACCGAGATGACTGGCTGATGCACCACCTGTGCCTCCTACTGTACCAACTTGCTGTGCTTTATCCACCCGGCGCTCCGCTCGTTGTTGTGAGCGTCGCTCCTCCGCCCTCCGTTGTTGTTGGAGGGCGATTGCCTCCAACTGCCCAGTAGCGTCCTTCACGAGCCTCCTCCACTGAGGCCGATCTTGACACCGCTGGTACCAGTCATCGGCAAGTCCACTCAGCTCCACGTCCTCCTGTACCACATCACTCCATCTCTTCTCTAGCCCGTGCCGCGCCCGTTTAGCCCCCTCGATCCGGCTGAACAAAAGCTGTTTAGGCATGCGGTGGCTGGGCATGCGGGCTACATGACCCAGCCAACGCAGCCTTGCCTGCCGGAGGAGCTCACTGATGGGACTTTGCCCAGATCTTTCAAGGATTTGTGAGCTCCTCACACAATCCAGCCTGGTTAAACCCAGGATGGATCGTAGGCAGGCCAGCCTAAATGTTTCCAACCGGCGAAGATGCTCCACTAGGGGGGTCCACGTTTCGCAAGCGTAGAGAAGGGAGGGAATGACCGTGGCCGAGAAGACCTGAAGCTTCGTGCGGAGTGATAGACCAGGTAGCTTCCACACAGCGTTACGCAACCGATGAAAAGATATTGCCGCTCGACTGATTCGGAGTGAGACCTCTGCTGATAAACTGGAGCCGGTCATAAGCACACTGCCCAGGTATGGGAAACTCTCCACTCTCTCCACAACTGCCCCATCACCAATTGGGAGTTGTGGGGGTGGAGTGTCCGATGGTACAAAATACCCAGGCAGGTGCTTAGTTTTGGTGGGGCTGATGGTAAGGCCCCACCTCTTAGTGGCACGCTCCAGTCTCAGCAGCAGCGTCTCCAACTCCTCTTCTGAGTGAGCAGCTATTACCAAATCATCGGCATACATAACGTGGTTGACCAATAGGGAGCCATCCCTTGATCGCACCCGGCATCGATCAGCCTCCCATTATATCTGTACCAAATGGAAATTCCCCCGGTACAGCTATTGAAGGCTTCACGAACTACGCGGTCAAAATAGATGTTAAATAATGTGGGAGCCAGAGGACATCCCTGTCGCACCCCAAGGTGTACAGGGAAAGGCTCCGACTCCCGGCCACGTAGTTTTACCCGGGCCCGCTCACCATCATGAAGGTCCTTAACACACACACAATAACACACTCACTCACATAATAACACACACACAATAATACACACACACACAATAATACACACAGGAGCAGACGCAAACACACAATAACACACACACACAATAATACACACACACACAACAATACACACAGGATGCTGCTAATCCTGCATAATGCACGGGCATAAGTAGTACTAATCACATACCTGCATTTCCCATAAATATGCTAAATTCCTCTTGATATGCAAATTCCTTTGTCAAGGCGCTCTTCCCCCTCCAACCCAGCTTAAATGTACGCTGCCAAGCCTGGTGGTATTTCATTCAGACGCTGTCTTTCTGACAGACCTGTTCTTCACCTGAGGACGGCTGCTTGCGTTGAGGCCGAAACGTCGTGAGAATTATTTTATTGTTTTATTTTTATTATTTTATTATTTCCATTCTACGTAACTTTACCGAAAGAACCAAGAAGATGAATCTCTGCAGTCACGAAAGCTTTAAATCGAAATTTAACAAATACAACACTACAAAGACAAAGATCCCCCAGTGGAGCCTGTAACAGACTGTTGGGGCAAGTGCTGTTAGCGAGCACCTATGAAGGCCGACACGGCACACGAGGGGGTGGATGGCCAGGAACCACGTCCGGCCGCCTTTGTCTCCCAAGTGGCGATGTTTACACACAACGCACCAGGTACTCATTTGAGGCTGAGTCGACCTAGGGGAAAGCCGGAACCAGTTCTGATAATCATCACCGGTTTAGGCCGTGAGCGGGAATCGAACCCGGGTCGCCAGGTTCGTAGCGCAGCGTAGCGCTAACCACTACACTACCGCTCTCCAAACACACACAGTGACACGCACACAGTGACACGCACACAGTGACACGCATACACAGTGACAGACACACGCGGCTCAATTGGGACGACCACGCACGCTGCATTCCAGCGGGGCTAGCGCGCGGAACGCGACGTGGCCGTGCTCTATCCACTGCTGGGTGACCCCTCCAGCACGTCATCGCCACCTCTCACGGTCTCGCGAATGCGACCATCCACCCAGCGACCTGCAAGGCAAGCCGACGGCATCGCTCCATCTCCGAGGTGGATACTGTCCTACCAGGTGTGTTTGTCTCCTGTGACTGCCACTCGTCGTTTGGTCTCGACCAAGGTTCCATTGCCCATCGCATAGCGACGCGTCTCGCCCGTCCCCACTCACTTAAACGGTTATTGGGACGACGACGATGTTCATAACATGCGCGTCTTCTCTTATCCGGCTGTCTAATTCCCACCCTTTGCGCACCTCCCCTAACCACTCAGCGCTCCCTCTGCCCCCCTCTCCTACCCTCTCACCATTCCCTCTGCCCCCCTCTCCTACCCTCTCAGCGCTCCCTCTGCCCCCCTCTTCTACCCGCTCACCGCTCCCTCTGCCCCCCTCTCCTACCCGCTCACCGCTCCCTCTGCCCCCCTCTCCTACCCTCTCACCACTCCCTCTGCCCCCCTCTCCTACCCTCTCACCACTCCCTCTGCCCCCCTCTCCTACCCTCTCAGCGCCCCCTCTGCCCCCCTCTCCTACCCTCTCACCACTCCCTCTGCCCCACTCTCCTACCCTCTCAGCACTCCCTCTGCCCCCTCTCCTACCCTCTCACCACTCCCTCTGCCCCCCTCTCCTACCCTCTCACCACTCCCTCTGCCCCCCTCTCCTACCCTCTCACCACTCCCTCTGCCCCCCTCTCCTACCCTCTCAGCGCCCCCTCTGCCCCCCTCTCCTACCCTCTCAGCACTCCCTCTGCCCCCCTCTCCTACCCTCTCACCACTCCCTCTGCCCCCCTCTCCTACCCTCTCACCACTCCCTCTGGCCCCCCTCTCCTACCCTCTCAGCGCCCCCTCTGCCCCCCTCTCCTACCCTCTCACCACTCCCTCTGCCCCCCTCTCCTACCCTCTCACCACTCCCTCTGCCCCCCTCTCCTACCCTCTCACCACTCCCTCTGCCCCCTCTCCTACCCTCTCAGCGCCCCCTCTGCCCCCCTCTCCTACCCTCTCAGCGCTCCCTCTGCCCCCCTCTCCTACCCTCTCAGCCGCTCCCTCTGCCCCCCTCTTCCTAACCCGCTCACCGCTCCCTCTGCCCCCCTCTCCTACCCTCTCACCCTCCCTCTGCCCCCCTCTCCTACCCTCTGCACCTCCTACCCTCTCAGCGCCCCCTCTGCCCCCCTCTCCTACCCTCTCCCCACTCCCTCTGCCCCCCTCTCCTACCCTCTCACCACTCCTCTGCCCCCCTCTCCCTACCCTCTCAGCGCCCCCTCTGCCCCCCTCTCCTACCCTCTCAGAACTCCCTCTGCCCCCCTCTCCTACCCTCTCACCACTCCCTCTGCCCCCCTCTCCTACCCTCTCAGCGCCCCCTCTGCCCCCTCATCCTACCCTCTCAGCGCTCCCTCTGCCCCCCTCTCCTACCCTCTCCCCACTCCTCTGCCCCCTCTCCTACCCTCTCACCACTCCCTCTGCCCCCCTCTCCTGCCCTCTCACCACTCCCTCTGCCCCCCTCTCCCTACCCTCTCAGCGCTCCCTCTGCCCCCCTCTCCTACCCTCTCACCACTCCCTCTGCCCCCCTCTCCTACCCTCTCCCCACTCCCTCTGCCCCCCTCTCCTACCCTCTCACCACTCCCTCTGCCCCCCTCTCCTACCCTCTCCCCACTTCCCTCTGGCCCCCCTCTCCTACCCTCCTCCCCACTCACTTCTGCCCCCCTCTCCTACCCTCGTCAGCACTCGCCTCTGCCCCCCTCCTAACCACTATCCCACTCCCTCTGCCCCCATCTCCTAACCATCTCAGCGCCCCCTCTGCCCCCCTCTCCTACCTCTCACCAACTCCCTTTGGCCACCCTCTCCTACCCTCCATTCATCACTCCGCTGCCCCCCTCTCCTACCCTCTCCCAATCCCTCTGCCCCCCCTCCTACCCTCCAGCGCCCCCTCTGCCCCCCATCTCCTACCCTCACCACCCCTCTGCCCGCCCTCTTCCTACCCCTCACCAATCACTCATGCCTCCCTCTCCTACCCTCTCAGCGCCCCCGCTGCCCCCTCTCCTACCCTCTCAGCGCGCCCTCTGCCCCCCCTCTCCTACCTCTCACCACTCCCTCTGCTCTGCCCCCCTCTCCTGCACCTCAACACTCCCTCTGCCTCCCTCTCCCTACCCTCTCAGCGCTCCCTCTGCCACCCCTCTCCTACCCTCTCACCACTCCCTCTGCCCCCCTCTCCTACCCTCTCCCCACTCCCTCTGCCCCCCTCTCCTACCCTCTCACCACTCCCTCTGCCCCCTCTCCTACCCTCTCCCCACTCTCCTCTGCCCCCCTCTCCTACCCTCTCAGCACTCCCTCTGCCCCCCTCTCCTACCCTCTCACCACTCCCTCTGCCCCCCTCTCCTACCCTCTCAGCGCCCCCTCTGCCCCCTCTCCTACCCTCTCAGCGCTCCCTCTGCCCCCCTCTCCTACCCTCTCCCCCCTCCCTCTGCCCCCCCTCTCCTACCCTCTCAGCGCCCCCCTCTGCCCCCTCTCCTACCCTCTCAGCGCTCCCTCTGCCCCCCTCTCCTACCCTCTCCCCACTCCCTCTGCCCACCCTCTCCTACCCTCTCACCACCTCCCTCTGCCCCCCTCTCCTACCCTCTCCCCACTCCCTCTGCCCCCCTCTCCTACCCTCTCACCACTCCCTCTGCCCCCTCTCCTACCCTCTCACCACTCCCTCTGCCCCCCTCTCCTACCCCTCTCACCACTCCCTCTGCCCCCCTCTCCTACCCTCTCAGCGCCCCCTCTGCCCCCTCTCCTACCCTCTCAGCGCTCCCTCTGCCCCCCTCTCCTACCCTCTCACCACTCCCTCTGCCCCCCTCTCCTACCCTCTCACCACTCCCTCTGCCCCCTCTCCTACCCTCTCACCACTCCCTCTGCCCCCCTCTCCTACCCTCTCACCACTCCCTCTGCCCCCCTCTCCTGCCCCCTCACCACTCCCTCTGCCCCCCTCTCCTACCCTCTCAGCGCTCCCTCTGCCCCCCTCTCCTACCCTCTCACCACTCCCTCTGCCCCCCTCTCCTACCCTCTCCCCACTCCCTCTGCCCCCCTCCCTACCCTCTCACCACTCCCTCTGCCCCCTCTCCTACCCTCTCCCCACTCCCTCTGCCCCCCTCTCCTACCCTCTCAGCACTCCCTCTGCCCCCCTCTCCTACCCTCTCACCACTCCCTCTGCCCCCCTCTCCTACCCTCTCAGCGCCCCCTCTGCCCCCTCTCCTACCCTCTCAGCGCTCCCTCTGCCCCCCTCTCCTACCCTCTCCCCACTCCCTCTGCCCCCCTCTCCTACCCTCTCAGCGCCCCCTCTGCCCCCTCTCCTACCCTCTCAGCGCTCCCTCTGCCCCCCTCTCCTACCCTCTCCCCACTCCCTCTGCCCCCCTCTCCTACCCGCTCACCACTCCCTCTGCCCCCTCTCCTACCCGCTCACCACTCCCTCTGCCCCCCTCTCCTACCCTCTCAGCGCTCCCTCTGCGCACCTCTTCTACCTTCTCAGCGTTCTCTCTGCGCACCTTTCCAACTGTTGTTCTATGCGTTTGTCATCGACAACGCGGCTGCCACACAGTGGGGGCTGCTGCGCGGAACGGCGGGGACACGCGTGCGCGTCACGGAGAACAACGGCTGAGCACAGACGCCGCAGCAGCAACAGGGTACGGGTCTGGAGAAGAGGTAGCCGAGTCGTAAGAAAGCCTTTGTGCTATCTATCCACCAAGGCATCATCACCGAGTCCAGGAACGGACTGGGACAAAAAGTCGGCCGAGGCACTTTGTAAAAGCGCACAGCGCCCCAAATTGCCATGCGATCCTCATTGGTACCATTTGAGGCTGGGTGCGAAAAAGCAAATGGGCCATTAAAGAAGAATCATCGTGGCTGCCGAACATGGGGACTTAATTCCCAATAAGAGCGTAAATAAGCAATGAAGCGTACACATTATAGGTAATATTTCAAATATATTTTATATTTCCTTTTTTTCACTCTGATCACATTTACAATGTCTCCCACACAGACCCGGCCACCGGGCATTTTCCTGATCTGCTGCCCTGTGGCCAGTCAGGGTCTGACCGAGTTTCAAGAACAAACTAAACAGACAGACAATACAAACGATACGACAAATAATATATTATTTAGTGCAATGGAAACATTGAATTCGTGCCAATTAAACAAATCGCGAGGTGGAAGGACGATATGGAGAGAAACCGCGACATTCTCGCGATCGCTGGCGGACTGGAGAAGAAGCCACGTGGCTTGGTAGCCGCCACCACAGCCATAGCGGGAGGTGAACTGGGATGTGGTGTGCCGA